AAACTGAGATGCTTAAACCTTGTGATACAGAAAAGGGAAGAAGAGCATTTTAGCCAGTGGATTCTGAGGCATGATCTGTTTTACCTCTATAAGTGGTTTGATGAATGGTCTGAATTTAGTGGAAGCAAACATGGAATGATTTTCTTTTTCTCCAGCCGCTGCCTTCGTATAAGCTGCTTTTCCTGCTCCTTAGTGTCATCTTTTTAGTTTTGTGTGAAGAGGGGGGTAGTGAAGGGTATTAAAAATCCAATCCAGTCTCCATCCCAGTCCAGATTTTTTTTTTAATTTAAGCTTTACCGAGATATGAATGAATGTAAAATTGTAAGATATTTAAAGTGTACATTGTGGTGATTTAATATACATATACACTGTGAAAGGTTTCCCTTCATCTCGTTAATGAGCATATCCATCACCTTACATGTTTACCTTTTTTTGGTGAGAACATTTAAGTTCTACTCTCCTAGTAAATTTCAGTTTAACAGTATAGTGTTATCAACCATGGTCATCATGTTTTACATCAGATTTTCAGACCTTATTCATCTCATAGCTAAAAGTTTATACCCTTTGACCAACCTCCCCTTATTTCCCTCACCACCACTGCCGCCTAACCAGCCCCTGGCAACCACTTTTCTACTCTCTGTTTCTATTAATATGGATTTGACTTTTTTTTAAGATTCCACATATATGTGATATCATGTAATATTTATCATCCTCTCTCTGGTTTATTTTAGTTAGCATAATGCCCTAAGGTCCATTGATACTGTCGCAAACATCAGGATTTCCTTCTTTCTCATAGCCGAATAGTATTCTATTGTATATATGTACTACATCTTCTTTATCCATTCATCAATTGACAGATACTTAAGTTGTTTCCATATCTTGACTATTACGAATAAAGCTCAGCGAACCTGGGACACAGATACCTCTTTGATACCCTGTTTTCATTTCCTTTGGATGTATACCCAGAAGTAGGAAGCCTCACCCAGTTTGATCAGTTCTAAAACTTTAAGGTCATGTCCTCTTTCCTCCCCACCAGAGTCAGTCCCAAGCCCAAAGGGCTTAGAGGAGAAAAGGGGACATGGATGCCTCTCTCTTTCCTCACCTTCCTCTTTCGGGGTTCCCTGTCTCCAGTGTTGCCCTAGACCACCCTCACCAGGGGAACCCTGAGGGAGAAGAATCAGTTTCTCTCCTGAAGGTTCTCCTCATCCTTCAGAGGGGTGTAGGCTGTGTTGCGCCCCCCCCCCCCCCCCCCCGCCCCCTGCTGCTCTCTACACTCCACCTATCCCTCTCCAATAGGACAGATCTGAAGGCCAGGGAGGTTGCCCAGCACACTGCCGACTCAGAAGCAGCTGCCGCTGACACCTTCATGTGGTCCCCCTCACTCTCAGCCAGTAGACCCCCTCACTCAGCTTGTTGTGAAGCAGAGCACCGCCTTCCTCCCCTTTCAGGAAGGAAGGGGAAACCCGCAGAACTTAGGATTCTCGTGATTTCTCCTTCAAACTGCTGATTTCCTGCAGAGGGAAGTGGGGAAGGGAGGTCTCCTAGAGCAGTTCAGCTGCCTCCCATTAAGTCCTCAGGGATTTGTCCTTCCAGTCTCCTTAGAATGTGGTAGTGGAAGGATGTGCATGTGGGGAAGGGGGTCACGGCAGAGCAAGAGGGTAGTGACTTAGCATTTTTTGTTTTCTAGTTGCACTTCAGCTGCAATTGGAGACAAGAGTGAGCATCTCTTTAAGAGCCTGTTCTATTTGCTCTGCAAATTCTCATTCGTCACAGCAGGCACAATTCAGAATGAGATCAGACTTTCAGATTCCTTTTTCTCAAAACCTCCTCTCCAAACTTGACTCTCAGTTGACAGCTTTGCTTCCTATTTCTCTGAGAAAATAGAAGCAGTTGGAAGAGAACAACAGTCACACCCATCACCTCTGCCTCCCCCCACCCACACCTGGGTTCTGCCTTCTCTCCCGACCTGTGAATGTTGGTGTGTGTGTAAGAGAGGGAGAGAGAGAGAAAGAGAGAGGAGGAAGAACCAGAATGAACAGAGGAAAGAGATAACAGACTTAATTATATGCATAATGTTAGAATAAATTGAGAAGATGACCTGAACCACAGTATGAACTTCTCATGCTAATCAAGTTAATATATGTGTCTTGGAAAACAGAAAAGATCATGAGTAATGTTACAGAGATTAATGGTATTTTTTGAACTTGCTAAATGATGGCACTTCACTTGCTTTGTTACCTGATGGCTAGATGTTATCTAGAAGTCTTGGCAATATGTACTTTTTAATCTGCAAAATTAGCATTGGTCTCCATCTCTGGGCTTCTTCAACCACCATTCTCCATTCTCAATGGAGAATGAAATATTCTCCATTTCCTCTTCTGTCTCCACCCCTGCAGGGCAAGTTAATGTGTATCTTTGTAAAACAACCAGAGCTCCTGGGAGCGTGATTTCAGTCAGTCATCCCATGGATCACCTCCTCAAGGAATGGGGTCAAATTAAGGACCAGGGGTCATCCAGACACCATAGAGGGGGCAATCTTGCCATCATTTTCTCATCCTTGGGGTTTGGGTTTGAGGAAACTGACACCTAGGGAGTTGGTGCGAGCTTCCTTTGGGGAAGGAAAGACAGAAGCAGGAAGAAAGTTGCTAAGCGATGAGATGGAGCTGGGGCTTAAACCCAGGTCTGCTTGTCTTCAGTCCTACTACACCCTAATTGTTTGCTATAATTAGAAAGTGTTTCCTTAGTCAAAGCCAGAATGAAACCCAGGAGTGAGATGTTGGTGGCAGCATCTGATGCCCTGTCTTCACCTTCTTCCAGCTGTGAGGTGACATCAAAAGGGAAGTGAGTAGTGGGTTTGAGATGGGCATTGTGCTTTTGTACTTTTTAATTTAAAAAAAAAATCATACGCATGTAGAACTATTAAAAACCACACTTGAAAAAATTAATGTGACCTCATTTTGTAGTCATAATCAGGTGAGGCCCAGAATTAATTAAATTTATTAATTAAAATAATAAAATGTATTTTATATTAGTATGTTCGTTTATATTCCCCCCACTTCCAATCCCACCCGTAAACAGAAGGTCTGGGATCCTGAAGGAAGATGAGGAAGCTGGGAGTCTGAGTTGGAAACAGGCAGGCAGAAGAGGCTGGAAGGGATTTCGTGGATTCCAGGGGTTGAAGCCTATAATTTCCTCTTTCTCTCTTTCTCTCTTCCCTTCCACCCCCATCTCTTCCTCCTCTCTTTTTCTCTCAAAACAAGCATTTAATGAGCACCATCTATGTGCCCAGCAATGTCTAGGTAGCAAGCACACAGCAGGGAGCCTGAGTAATGAGCGCTGGATATTGAACCCAGCATCTTCTGCCCTCGGTCCCCTGGGTGATTCTGAGCAACTGCACATGGAGAGCACTGGACCAGATGATGAGTGTGAAGGGAGGGTGCTCTCTGCATGTCAGCTGTGCTGATGCTGCACAGGGAGCACTGTGCTGGAGTAATTGGAACCTCTGACCTGGTGAGTCAGCTCTGATCGTGCTGGCGTGTCCACAAGAGTGCCGTCCTCCGTCTCCTGCTCTGGGGAACTGGACTGATTCATGGTCCCAGTTGCTGCCCTTCTGAATCTCCTCTCATCTTTGTGCAGAGACCGTCCTCAGCTAGTGACTGAGCCAGGCGGGGCTGCTAACACAGCTCCTTCTCATAAGAGACGGGCTGCTATTTAGCCTGAGACTTCAGCTGAGGCTTCCCCATGGCTTTGGCCAGGACATTCTAGGAACCGGCGGTATTTCGGGACTTCCTGTGCAGCCCTCTTTCTTCACAGATGCCAGCCCTCCATCACCTGCAGGGTCTCAAGGTCCTCGCTGCCATCTTCTAGTCTTCACAAGTGTTAGCCCTGATAAACCTCTCACACAACCAGTCCCACCCTGGCTTCTTTTCTCTGAGGACCTGGACCTCTACACCTGGCTTGGTCTCTGACACCAGTAGTGCCCTGTCTGCTGCTGCTCTCCTTCCTGAGCAGTGGGATCACACACACGAGGGGAGGTGAAGGCTGGCCCCTCCAAAATAATTTTATCCCCGTCTTGGGTGGCCCTGGCACAGACTGTTGGTGCAGAGGTTCAGGGCATGGCCTCTGGTGCTAGCTTGTCCTGCTTCAAACCCCAACTCTGCATGAGCTCGTGCAGGGTATAAGCCCTCTGTGCCCTGAAGCTGTAGATAGATAGTAGTCCCTTCACAGAACTGTGGTCCAGAAGGTTCCATGCTGCCCTGTTGGCGGGTTCTCAGCCTCACAGCAGCGTGCTGCAATTCCACGAGTGCTGGGCAAGTACCGTGCCTCCCCCTTTCCCTGAGCTGTCCGGAGCGAGCACTCTGTGGTTTCTGCTGCTCCTTTGAATGAAGAGGCCAAGTGGTACACTGGAAACACCCTGGTTGCAGGCCAACTCTGCCACTTCCAGCAGCACCATCTCCTCTCCATAGGTCGTTTTCGTTCCCTATTTCTTGGTTCCTTTATCTGTGAATTCAAGAAGCTGAACATCCCTTCTTAGAGGTTGGACTTATCTGTAGCCTCAAGATTCTATTAAGGATAGTACTCTCAGAAGCCAGTTTCATCTTCTTTCATTCTTCCTGGTAAATGTACACTAAACACATATTGTTGATTCAGCTCTGTGCTGGGCACTGGGGACTGAAAAATGAAAACAGAAGGTCTTTGCCCTCAAGCTGTTCAGAGTCCTTCTAGGGGAATAAACATATCCACAGATGACTCCAGGACAATGTGGGTTTGTGATTGCTTAGAGATGAAAGACTTCTGCCTTGGGTTTTACTAACATTTTATAATGGGAAGTGGGAGAGGTGCAGGAAATTGTTTCCTGATGATGTTTGGTTCAGAGAGGAAGGACAATGTGTTTCAATGTCCCCTGCCTTAAAAAAAAAACCAAAACTATTTTCATTGAGAAGAAACAGAAAAACTGGGTAAGTTAAACAAAGAGGGAGAGTTTTCTTTTACAGGTCATGAGGCCAGTTAATAATTAGTGAGACCCAAGTGGGTGTTTGGTGAGAGGCTGGGTTATGCGATCTCTTTGTCATTAGGGGTCGGTTCTACCCCAGCTCTGAGACTTCCAGCTCAGTGATGCCCCCAGACTTCTGGGAGAGATGCTTCTGGTTGTGGGGTCTCCTTTTGTGGCTCAGTGTTGGAAGTACAGGTAAGTTGGGGGCCGTTTCTTGGGTGAAACTTCTTTCAGTCAATAATTCTGTTTTTTTCACGCCATCTATTTATGCAGCACTAACCTTTGGAAGGTCCCCTGTAAGTCCTCTCCTGAGATGAATTTAAAAGAGGGAGAAAAAATTCTTCAGTCATAAGGGGAATGATGGCACTTCCTTAAGTCATAAAAACTAAACTTCTTCTAGCTGTTTTACTCATTTTTCTAAAATCTACATTATTCCTTTTCACCTTGCACAAGACACGAAGAGTTTAAGGAAATAAATGCAAAATTAGCTCCAAAATATGATTCATTTTCACGCTATACATATTCACTGTTCCAAGATGTATTTAATTTTAAAATCAAAATTTTCCAAACTAACAACGGTTTTATCATTGAGATTGTTAGAGGTTTTTTCTAATCTTGCTGACCCAACTCAAGTTCAGGTTTGTCATCCCTCCTGGTATGACTATGATAATTAATCTGTTAAGTCACAGATGACCTGTGACCTTTAGCACAATTTCCCTCCGATGTGAAAACCCCACCCACCACTCTCCCTTGCTTAATATAGCAAATCTAAACTCTCCTATGGTGTAGACAGTCCGGGAAGAGTGAAGATCCCCTTCTCTGACCAGCAGTGGCATCACCCTTAGAAAGCTCCCTTTACCCTGCCCCCAACAGCCGACTGCTTTTCTGTCACCTCCACAAGACATTTAATTCTCATTCCCCAGCTTTACAACATGTCTGTCTGCCTTCTGCCTGCAGTTGCTCATACTACCTTTTCTGCTCTTCACATCTTCCAGGAAAGCTTCCATGATTGATACCACCCTCTCAGTACGGCTCACCCCTTCCCTGCCTCAGTGGGTGATGTTGAAAAGGTCTACTTAGTTTTATGTGTGTGTATGTGTGTGTGTGTTAATCACTCAGTCGTGTCTGACTCTTTGCAACCCTATGGACTGTAGCCTGCCAGGGCTGTCTGTGGGATTCTCCAAGCAAGAATACAGTTCCTTCTCCAGAGGATCTTACCGACCCAAAGATAGAACCCAGATCCCCTGCATTGCAGGCAGGTTCTTCACCATCTGAGCCACCAGGGAAGCCAGTTTTATGTGTGCTTTTTTCCTAACTCAGTCATGTATTTGTGTGTGTGAGTGTGTGTGTGTGTGTGTGTGTGTGTGTGTGTATAAAGTGATCATATATCTTGTATTGTGAAGTGACTGTTTACATACTATACACTAGATCTAAAAGGATATATGTCTTATACATTTTTGATGAATGTGAGAAAAACTGCCTTGTAAGGAAGTTATAACTGTTGATTAGTATGTGGGCATGTTTGTTTCCCCCTCTCTCCACCAACACTTTGTATTAATGTTATCAAATGTTTTTCATATTGTCAATCTCATAGGAAAAGAGTATTACATTATTGTCTTAATTTTTATTTTTATTTTTTTTCTTAATTTTTATTTCTTAGTACAATTTGTGTCTCTGGTGTCTTGTTTAAGCAATCTTCTTATAATCTTTCATATTTTCTTCTGAACTCTATGGATTTAAATGAAGATCACCAGGGGCAAATCTTTTGGTCACGGGGTATTTTTTTCCTATTCCCATGGGATATTTTTTAATATGATGTTGAATTTTATTTGCCAACATTTACTTTAATTTTTGCATATATTTATTATTTTGTATATTTGTTCATAAAGGAAAATTACCTATCATTTTCTTTTATTTTATTGCCCTTCTTTGGTCTTGATGGTGCTGCTACTAAGTTGCTTCAGTCATGTCTGACTCTTTGCAACCCTATAGACTGTAACCCACCAGGCTCCTCTCTCCATGGGATTTTCCAGGCAAGAATACTGGAGTGGGTTGTCATTTCCTTTTCCAAGATGATTATAACTGCAGGAAATAAGTTTGTTCTATGAGACAGTTTTATATTGGGTTGGCCAAAAAGTTCTTTCAGGTTTTTCTATTCTAGCCTACAGAAAAATCCAAATGAACTTTTGGCAAACCAAATATAAGATAAAGGTTATTTATGATTTATAGGTTGATGGAGTTTTCAAATAAAACCATCAGGCTCTAGCACATTTTATGGTGAGAGAACACTCTTGATTACCAATTCAATTTTTTTGTTGTTCTAATAGGTTTATTAGGATTTTTATTTCTTTCTGATTCAGTTTCAGGAAATTATATTTTTCATTGCTGTTAAGTTTTCCAATGCATTTGTCTGGGAATTTTTAAGAATATCTGTTATACGTAATGTTCTGCAGTTTCACTATCACCTGTCTAGTATAGATGTATTTATTTTTTATCTTGCTCATTACCCTGAGTATAACTTTTGATTAGAGAAATCATATCTTTTTTTAGTTACAGAAAATTATCTGCAGCACAGCTTTTCCTATACTCTTCCCTTAGAGAACAGCCACTAGATAAATGTTGGAGCTTCTCCATGTGTTGCCTGTACTTTTTAACTGCACTTTCATATTAAAAAGCTTCTTTTACTTCTTCTGTACTGGACAGTAGTGTACTGATTATATTTTTATTTCAATGACCTTTTCATTTCCAATTTCTAATTATCTTTTTCTTTTAACTGTATATTTTATTACTTATGCCTATTTTATTTAATAATTTCTTATGCTCTGTCTTTATGTTTATCTTTGTATATAATCTCAGCTTACTCACTTTAAACCTTTGTCAACAATTTTTTAAACTTTATTTCACCTGGAATGAATCAATGATTCACTCATTGACAATCTTTGTAAATGTTTGATTTCTTTATATATTTGTTTGCAAGCTTTTTTAAAAATAAATTTATTATTGAAGTACAACATATATACAGAAAAGTACACAGATTATTAATACACATATTAATGAGTTTTTAGAGTGATCATCCAGATCAAGAAAGAAAACATCACCAGTTTCTTAAAACCCATCCCCCGTATCCCATCTTAATCACAACTGCTCCAAAAGTAACTATTACTTTGACTTCTAACACAATAGATTAGTTTCATTTTAATTTTCAGTCTCTCTTCGTCTCTGTGTCTTCCTTCCCGAGCTCCCATCTTTGCCTTCTCTTCTTCAGAGAGTGGAGGTTGTTTCACCTTCTGTTAGTGAGGCTTTGTCTTTCTATCTCATCTTCCTCAATAAAGCCGTTGCCCCAGTAGAAAGTTTCTGTGTGTGTTGTTTTTAGTTTCCTTTCCTGAGCTGGGGAGTCCTTCTCTCCATTACTGGCTACCGATGGGTCTTCCTGACACCTGACAGAGCACTTTGGACCCCTCAAACCCCGCAAACCTGAATTCTAACAAACATTGCCTTCTCCCAGACCTGAAACCCAGAACCATTTTGCAGTTCTGTTCTTGTTCATGGAGGTATTATTTTTACATTTGAGACTGTCTATGTCTCTTTCTCTCTGTCCTTTTGGGTATTCATCTGTGGCTACACTTTGGTTGAAGTGGTGCATGCAGGAAGAGGGTATCTGAGCATGATTCATGGGGCTATGCTCCATAGTCTTGAATGATGGACAGTTTCATTCTTTAAAACAAAATTATTTTTATTTATTTCTTTCACCGTGCTGAGTCTCAGTTGTGGCATGTGAACTCTTAATTGTGACATGTGGGGTTCCCACACCAGGGATTGAACCCAGCCCCCTGCATTGGGAGTGTGGAGTCTTAGCCACTGGACCACCAGGGAAGTCCCTGGACAGTTTCATTCTATCACCTGCAAATATTGGCAATTTTTCTCCCCTTTTTCAAACATCATAACTTTTATCCTATTTTATTATCTTGTTATATTATCTTGTTTTACTAGCTAGGACTAGAACTCCCAGTCCAATATTAAATAGAAGCACTGATAGCTTACATTTTCATGTTCCCAGTTCCAAATGGAATGCTTCCAACATCTCACCAGTGAGTATAATCGTTGCTATAGGCTTTTGGTAGATAGCCTTTCTTCCTTATGTTAAGGAGTATTGGGTACTGAATTTTATCATTTTCCCCCCTACATCTATTGAGTTGAGCATATGTTATTTTTTTCTTTAATGTGTTCACATGTGAATTACATTAATATATTTTCTAATGTTAAGCCATCTTTTCATTTCTTAGACTAAACCCTGCTTGGCCATGATGTATTTTTAGTTCTTGTTACCCTTGAAGGATTTGATATTTTATCTAGGGTTTTTATGTCTATGTATAATAGTGAAACTGGCCTTTAGTTTTCCTTTCTCCTTCTTTATTTGTCCAGTTTTGACATTTTGGCTATTTTCATCGAATGAGTTTGGATTCTTTCTCCCCTTTTCTATTCTCTAAAATAGTAAGATAGGAATTGACCTGTTGGTAAAATTTCTGTGTGAAATCGGTCCTGATATAGTTTTTTGATGAATAGATTTAAAACTACTGTTTCAGTTCCTTTATGCTACAGCTTTAGATTTGATTTTCTGTTTTTTCTTTCTTGACTAAATTTTAGTAAGCTATTTTTCTAGGAAATTATCAATTTAGGAAAACATCTGTATTTTTAAACTGTTGGATGGGTATAAATATGCTTCTTTGTGGTTTAAAAAATTTTATTGTGTTTACATCCCCTTTTAATTCCCTGTATTGTTTATTTGTGACTTCCCTCTTTTTAGTCTCTCTTACAGAGAGTCCTGTGGATGGAGGAGCCTGGTGGGCTGCCGTCTATGGGGTCGCACAGAGTCAGACACAACTGAAGCAACTTAGCATGCATGCATACTTTGGAGAAGGAAATGGCAACCCACTCCAATATTCTTGCCTGGAGAATCCCAGGCACAGAGGAGCCTGGTGGGCTGCTGTCTATGGGGTCGCACGGAGTCGGACACGACTGAAGCGACTTAGCAGCAGCAGCATCAAAAGTACATCTTATATTTTTTAAGTACATCTAGTTTATTATCCTGTTCAAAGAGCTACTTTTTGGTATTTATTATGTGTGGCAAGTACTATTCTAGGCAGTAGAGTGAACAAAATGGATAAAATCCCTTCCTTCTTTGAACATATCTTCTAATGTGGGAAAATTAATAAACAATACATTTAATAATAAACTGGTAAATAAAAACTTGATTAGGTGATAATTGTTATAAAAATAAATCAGGATAAAGAAGATTCAGAGAATGGAGATGAGGCACTTAGTTTGTGTGTTGTATTCAGTCATGTCTGACTCTTTGTGACCCCATGGACTGCAGCCCACCAAGCTCCTCTGTACATGGGATTCTTCAGTCAAGAACACTGGAGTGGGTTGCAATTTCCTCCTCCAGGGGATCTTTCTGACCCAGGGCTCGAACTTGCGTCTCCTGTGTCTCCTGTATGTAGACAGATTCTCTACCAGATGAGCCATTGGTTTCAGGCACACAGGCAGATGGCAATTTAAATGGGGGTTAGAGGAAAGGAGATGACATTTGACAAGCAAAGACTTAAAGCAGAAGTGGAAATTAGCCACGTGGATGTCTGGAGAAAGACATGCCAGGCAGAAGGAATGCCCAGCACACAGACCCTCCAACAGGAACCTATTTAGAGTGAGGAAGAGATAGGAGGACAGTGGCTGGAATAGAGGAAGCAATAGTGGGGCAGGAGAAGGCTCCTCAGGAGGATGGTCTAGATATTTAGGGCTTTCTTCTATTGTTAGGACTTTGGATTTTATTCTAAGTGAAATGCCTTGGTGGCTTTTGCACAGAGATGTGACATGATTTGATTTACTTTTCTAGCTACTATGCTACAAATAGGCTGAAGAGGATAAAGGCAGAAAAAGCATTGCAGGCCACATAATTTTGAGATATGATGGTGGTTTAGACCAAAGTGGTACCAGTCTAGGTAGTGAGAATGGTTTAATTCTGAATATTTTGTTCTGAGGATTTACTTACCATTTGTCTGGGGGTGGGAGAAAGCAAAGTGTCAAAGATCTCTCCAGGAAGGTGGACCTGAGCAACTGCATAGGCTGAATTGCTCCTGATGACATTCATATTCATTGTTTTCTTTAATTTTAATTACTTCCTTTGTATTTATTTCCCTACATTTTATTTGGAATTGCTGTAGTATTCTTTCTCAATTTTCTGACTTACAAGATTAACTTACATGATTTGTATCTTTCCCCATTTCCCCCTCATATTTGCATTTAAGGTTATATTAATAGCTCTCAGTCTAGTACTGTTTTAGCTACTTTAACTCAAGTTTTGATATTGTATTGGTTTTATTGTCATTAGTTTTTAATATTCTCTAATTTCTATTGTGATTATTCAACTCATTCATTACTTAAAAGGGAATTAAACTTAAAAAATCTCTAAATGTATCTTTAATTTTGTTATTGATTTCTAATTTTTATTATTGCTTATTTAGATAACATTGTCTGGAATATATTGATTCTATGATGCTTGTTGGACCTTGCTCTGTGACAAACTATGTTTACTACATGACCAGTAGAGCAATGTAGTCATGTATGTGGTTCAGGTCTCATGTTCAGGTAGAGGCTTTTCATCTTTTCTTCCAAAAGTTGGGGAAGGCAGATGAGGTGGTCAAGTCATGACAAGTCTATCTTGGGTCATGGGAGCAGGCACAAGTTGCCACAGGCTGGGAAGCCTGGGGGCCTGCACTGTCAGAGTGGGCTTCATTGCAGGAGTGTCTGAGATCTGGCTGGTGAGGAGGGAGATGCAAGGGGACTGGGGAACCAGGCTGGGGCTCAGATGCAGAGGTGAGGAAACCACTGTTGGCGTGCTGCAAGGGTGGGGCGCTCACAGCACTATGGCCCAGTGCACTGCAGATCCACAGGCCTTCTGTACCTGCTCCTCACTTACCTCTGAAGGCAGAGAACTATTCCAGAAACCTGAGAGAGCTGTATTCCTTGTGAAGAGGGCTATGCAAATCAGTTTGCAATCTAAACCTGTCTTCTGATGTTGCCAATGGCTTTGTCCTGTGGTAGGAATACAAGGTCGCTGCTAACAGCACCAGGATTGGGGCCCTGTGGGCACTCAGTGTATGCACTGCAGCTCCTGCCAGTCTCTTTCTGTAAGACAGCTGGGTGTTAGAGGCCCCCATCTTTATCACAAGCATGACAGGGGGCTGTTGGGTCTTAAAGATAGGCCAGATTTTCAGCTCCCTGGGATGCAGGAGTTACAGTATGCTGCCATTTCGGTTCAGTACTGTAGAAGGCCCTTCAGTGACCTTGACTATAAAATATCCTATTTAAAGGTATCTGTTGGAAGGCACTATCAAATACATATAGCTCATTAAATGCCTTCTCTATCATCGGGGCAGCCATGTGCTGGGCACTGCAGGCTCTGGAGTGGCTCTGGACTGTCACTTAATCACAAGGACAAAATGTGATTAGTGAGAAGTGATCACTCTGGGATGGGATGAACAGACCAGAATGAGCCTAATCCCCAGCGCAACTGCTTATTTTATAGCCTAGGGTTCTTTTCAGAAAACTGTATTATTTAGCCAGGACTGTTGTAAGAAAGGACTTCCCCGGTGGCTCAGAGGGAAAAAAGTAAGTGCCCAAGATGGGTGGCTTAAACAACAGAAGTTTATCCTCTCACACTTCTGGAGGCTGCAAGTCTGAGATTAAGGTGGTGGTAGGGTTTGTTCCTCCTGAGGGTTCTGAGCGAAGGATCCATTCCAGGCCTCTCTCATTGGCTTAGAGATGGCTATCTACTCCACATGTCTTCACGTCATCTTTCTTCTTTGTGACCAAATTGCCTCTTCATCTAAGCACATCAGTTGTATCAGATAAGGGTCCACCCTATTGGTTTCATGGCCTTCTCAGGTGGCTCAGTGGTAAAGAATCTGCCTGGCAGGAGACACCAGTTCCATCCCTGGGTCAGGAAGATTCCTTGGAGAAGGAAATGGCAGCCCACTCCAGTATTCTTGCCTGGAAATTCCATGGACAGAGGAGCCTGGCGAACTACAGTCCATGGGGTTGCAAAAGAGTTGGACATGACTGAGCACACACGCAATGGCTTCATTTCAGTGTAATTACCTCTGTAGGGACTCTGTCTCCAAATACAGTCACATTCTGAGGTTTTAAGGATTAGTTAATTCAGCACATGAATTTATGGGGAAAAGGGGACTCAATTTAGCCCATGACAATATCCGTTTCACCATGGCCTTTAATCTTCTCTAATTGAGCAATATTTTATTCTTCTCTGGTATCTTATCTTTATACATGAAAAATAGTCACAGATTTTGGTTATAGAAGTGATGCCTTTAATAAATGAGCCATTATTACACTTGCTGATTTATGATCAATCCCTGTAAAACCATTTCTTTCTTTCTTCCTTTCAAAAGCACTTTTCTTCTTTTTAAGAACAGATGACCTCACCTTTGAAGTTTCTTGGGTTTTATTTGTTTTTTCTTCTAGGGGATGCACCTCCTACCCCACAGACGAATTGTGCTGACTTCCAGAATGCCAATCTCCTCCGAGGCACCAATCTCAAAGTCCAGTTTCTCCTCTTCACTCCTTCGGATCCCAGCTGTGGGCAGCTAGTGGAAGAAAGTAGTGACATCCAAAACTCTGGGTTCAATGGCACTCTAGGAACCAAGCTAGTTATCCATGGATTCAGGTGGGAGCCAAACAACCAATAGGATCATCTCCACTAGGAACTAGAAAATGACCCTCATGCCACAGGAAGTTAGTGGGGAGCAAGAGGAGAAATGGATTCACTGCCTGTCACAGGTCCCCTTGCTTACCTTCTGCTGGTCTTGGAGAGGTCTCATAGCAACATGAACACACGCTGTGTTACTCTTTCTTATTGGTCACATATGTTACTCCTCTGCTAAGTCTCATCTTTATACTCTCAAACAGTAAATATGAATGACCCTGGATAAGTAGCACATGGAGCCTCGATTTCCATGCCTGAGTAAAAGGGAGGTTGTAAAAATAGTCTCAGTGATCCTTTCCTCCCTCAAGTGTGGGTTGCATGATTCATTTCAGCCAGCGAGGTCACAGGCTTTGTGCAATTGCTCAGGGGTAACATCATGGTGTTTTTATCCAGGGTTTTATTTCCTCTTCTTCACTTCTACCTGGGTTTCACAACCTAAGAAACTTCTACTTCCATCATTCCCAGAGATTAGTGTTTCTCAGGCACTACACACTTCTTCAATTTCTTTGATGATCCACAGTCCAACTTTTGTTGTAATATATAGTCTCTGAGTCCCAAGTCAATCATCACCCTTCCTTCCAACATCTTCTCTCCAAAATTCACTGATAACGCCAAAAACAGTAAAAAGTTTCTGGGAAGAGAAAGGGAGAGAATATGGTGAAACAGTAGCTAGAACAACTGAAACTGGGGGGGGGACCCAATGAAGAGGTGGACAGTGAGGCACTGCACAAAGGATAATTGCTTCCTCATCTCTGGCTGGTTTCTCCCTGACCCCAGGGTCCCAGTCACATCCTCCCTTAGGCTTTCCTTCCCACTCTTGAGCCAAAGTCTCTCCTCTGGCAAATTCTGCATTCAACCACCATCCGAGGCTCAACCAGAGACACCTGCGACCGGAGATAGCTGATGGAGTGGAGAGCTCTGAAGCCTTGCTATGCTGTCATTCCAGATGCCCCCCAGGCCACATTCCCTGGCATACACCGGGGCTGGGCTCCTCTGTCCACATGAGCCAGCTCTGTGCCATGGAGAAGAAGACTTCTTTCCCATTCCTAACCTCTTAGGAAAGCTTTCTGAAAATTTTCCTCTTCTTCTTTTCCTAGAAAAGTCTTATTATATTCTAAGTTCTAGAATAATAAAGAATATATCTCATTTTTCTTTATTTCTCAGAAAGCACCTAGCACATCGCCTGGCCCATTTGTTGCATGAAGGGTGAATGCATGGACAAGTAAATGGAAACACCCCTAAGGAAGGTGTCTGTGTTACAGAGTGAGAATTAAGATTGCAAATCTTGAACTCTAACACACAAAGCTATCTTTTCTTTCCCATGAGTAACACAAGCAGGGTCAGCACATGTGGTCCATGTGATTTATGCATTGCACAAAGGTACCTGACTGAGGGCCAATGGGGCTGAACTCTGACCTGAGCTCTGAGCCCTGGCCCAAGGCTACATCCACCTGGAACAAAGGTACCTCTTTACAATTTACCCACAGGCTCCACATGTGCAAGCAGGAACCCTGCTAACTTCAGGATTATGTCCTCCTTATGCTCAAAGCACTGTAGGATTTAGTGCTCATACTCCCCTCCACCCCCCACCACACACACACACACACACACACACACACACACACACGTGACTGTTTTCCTCTAGATTTGTTCTGTTTATAGAAATGTCATTGTAATTTCCATGACGATGAATACTGACTGGGAAGATAATTTTCCTATCCTTTCTTGGCCCCACATCTAGGGCTTTAGGAACAAAGCCTTCCTGGATTGATAGATTCATCGGTGCCCTTCTGCGGGCAGCAGATGCTAACGTGATTGCTGTGGACTGGGTGTATGGCTCCACAGCTGCCTATTTCTCAGCCGTGGAAAATGTGATTAAGCTGGGACTCGAGATCTCCCGTTTCCTCCGTAAACTCCTGGTAGGTGTAGAAGAGCTTAGGGTGAGCTCTGGCTGCTTGTGGGGGAGTGAGCGCTCAGAAAGAAAGAAATAACACGTGAGGAGGAGCTTTAGGGAGGAAGCAGAGCCACTGGTAGTCTGTGGGTCTTTGATTCAGGTCTCACCTTTACCACTTACTGTGCTGACCTCAGGCGGAGTTTTGAACCTCTCTGAGCCTCTTGCTGCTCCTCTGTAAGACGCACCACTACATGTTACATCGGAGGTGCCGATAGCTGGCCCTTCTATGCTTTCAGGAGGAAATGGCTGTGGTCATGCCTCACACACCTTGGGCACCAAAAGGAAAGTGAATGGGTTGTCCAGGTGGGGAGCCCAGGGAGAGGGCAAGTGATTAACAGGGTGAGATTCTGCACTTTCTCCCCAAAGCATGTGTGGCTGGTATGTTGTGCCCAAGACCCTCTGCTTCTGACGCCTCAGAGAAAATTGTTACCCTTGTAAGGTCAGGGGCTGGGGTGGCCCAAATGTAACTCACTGTAAATGACTGTTCTAGGCGCTGGGTGTGTCAGAGTCCTCAATCCACATCATTGGCATCAGCCTGGGGGCCCATGTAGGGGGCATGGTAGGACATTTCTACAATGGCCAGTTGGGACGGATCACAGGTAACATTCTTCCCTGCCCATTCGCTCAGGTTTAGAGAGAAAGAGAACATGCCTGGAAGAGCGTTTGCTAAGGCAGGCAAAGGGAAGTGTGTTGGGCCTTTGTTCTTATGATCAAGTCATTGATCACCACTAAAATTTACCTATTGTGGCCCTTTTGGATAAGATGGTACTGTGTTGTTATTTCATGATCTCTAGTGTCAGTGTTAGAGGCCATCTATTTCTTTCTGAGCCTCAATTTCTACAACTCTAAAATGGGTTGTAACAGCTCCTATCTCCTTGGCCCACTGTGGAAATCACCTTTACACAATTTTTCTAAATACTTGCACAGTGCTGGGAATTTTGTGCTTCAGGAACTACCCTCAATCAGTAAGGAGCCAGAGCTGTGTGGTAAATACTCTGGCTGCCTGGCACTTCAGTGGGACAGTTCTGAGTTGTGTTTTGCAGAGTCCTGCAGGGGGACCCCAGTGGGATGAGACCCAAAGTGATAGTCTAGTCATTAAAATTGTCTTTCATTCTCTGACTTTTTTCCACTTCCTTATGATACTTTCTGTGCGTGCATGCTAAGTGGCTTCAGTCATGTCCGACTCTTTGCGACCCCATGGACTGTAGCCCGCCAGACTCCTCTGTCCACGGGATTATCCCAGCAAGAATACTGGAGTGGGTTGCCTTTCCCTTCTCCATGAGACCTTCCCTATCCAGGGATCGAACCTGTGACTTTTATGTCTCCTGCATTTACAGGCAGGTTCTTTACCACTAGCACCAGCTGGGAAGTCCATGCTTTCGGTGATTTTCTCCCAAATAAGCTACTTGCACTTTACATACTTGTCTCACAGTCTGCTTTTTGGGTGGAATAGGGAGGGATCCAAGGTAAGGCTGGGAGAGAGTAATATTTACTTCACTCTATCGTTGTAAAGGGGCTTCCCAGGCGGCATTAGAGGTAAAGAACCCTCCTGCCAGTGCAGGAGATATAAGAGATGTGGGTTAGATTCCTGGATCAGGAAGATGACTTTGGAGGAGGGCATGGCAACTCCCTCTAGTATCCTTGCCTGGAGAATCCCATGGACAGAGGAGCCTGGTAGGCTACAGTCCATGGGATCACAATAAGTTGGATACAATAGAAGCATCTTAGCATGCACACACACACGTTGTTGTAAGGACTAGAATGTGTGAAGTTGCCTAGCACAAGGCCTGGCACATAGTAACTACTCAAAACATTATAGCCATTGTTATTACTACATGAGGATGAATATTACTGACATTAACCCTTACCAAATGGTCGGGGTTAGCAAGTTCATTTCAGAGCCAGAGGAACCGGGTCATGAAGAAGTTAGAGTTCCCTCTACTCAACAGAGTAGGGTTTCCTGGGAAAGGTGGTCCTGAGCTAGTTCTCTCACCCTTGGGTCCTTGTTGGGGGATTCTGATCTGAACTATAACGGTTGCCCGTGTAGGTGTGCAGTGGATCCATGAGAGTTCTTGTGTCTGAGATGACAGGGCCCCTGACATGTCTGTCCTTGCAGGCCTGGACCCTGCTGGACCAGAGTATACCAGAGCCAGCCTGGAGGAGCGTCTGGACCCTGGGGATGCCCTCTTCGTGGAAGCCATCCACACAGACACGGACAGTGAGCTGGGGTGGGGGGGTGGCGGGGCAATGAGCACAGGGCAGAGGCTAGGAGTGGCCCTAGGAGGAGACCCTTCCACTCTGAGCTTCTGTTGCAGTGAGGAGTTTACCAGCATGATCTCGAAAGTCTCTTCCAGCCCTATCTTGCTCTGGGACTGAGATGAATGATTTTATTTTTAGCCAGCATGAGACAGAAGGATTCTCATTTGTGGACCAAAACTGTTTGGTCATGAGTCTCATTCTGATTCAACCCTAAGCCTCTTCTGAGGTAGTGTTTGGAGGGCACTTCTGCCTGTCAGGCACACGGGAAAGTCAGGCTATTTTTTCAGGGTGAACATGCCTCACCCCGGGACACTGGGGCATTCCGCTTCTGGGGCAGATGCTCGGGCCTGTCAGAACTTCTCTCCTTCCCAAGAGATGAGGCCAGCCCTCAGTTGGGTGAAGAATGAGAACTGCCGCCTCCAATAATGACAGGCACAGGCAAGAACCCCCAATTCTGAATCCATCATAACCAGCAGACACTCCTCCTCATTCCTACTCAATGTCAGATGCCCAGAGTCTAGTGCCAGGGCCTGTGCTCAGTGTGTTGGGTACCAGAAGAAATTACATCTGTCTCTGACCACGAGAGTTTGCCGTTCAACTGAGAGATAGCCATGTCTCATTCCATTTGGCTAGAAGCCTTTTTAGCATCCAAAACTCACAGATTCATGATTCTGGAAGAAGTTCATGTAGTCATATAACTCAATCCTCTTTTCCACCTCCATTTCACAGATAAGAAAACAAAGTCCATAGCCCTCTGCTTAGTTATTAAGTTAATTAACCATGTTAATTAACAATGTTAACCTTTTATGTTCCTAAATTTGCTAAATAGGTGACCCATTGGTCCCTATTTATTTGTCCTAGGCCTCTCAGTTCCCTTCAAAGTTGTAGCCACTACCTAATATGATAAAAAGTTTTTCTTTTTATGATAAAAAAATAACTTCCATTTATTCAGTTAGTCTTGACTGATCTATGTAGCAGGCACTAAGAATACTGCAGTGCACAGGGCACCACGTGGGACTTGCCGGCTAACAGGGAAAGCATTTGTCCCTGATTTGTTCAATAAATAAGTATTTGGTACTAACATAAGCTAGGTACCATAGAGCAGGGAGAAGATGGGTAAAGGCCCTGCCTTAATGGAGCTTACATACAAGTCAACAGATAAGATAATTCTACCTCCTGATTATTATAATAAGGGATATGGGAGGAGCGTATGTGACTTGTCAGGGGGTGCGGGGTCTACCTCAGGTAGGATTATTGAGGAAAATCTGTCCAAGGAGTTGATGTCTGAGGTGAGATTTCATGGATGAGAATAAGCCAGCACTGGAAAGAGCTGGGAGAAGACCATTATAGATGGGAAGGATAGCCAGAATGAAAGCCTTATGGTGGGTGAGGGCAGGAAGGAGAACCATGTAGTTAGCACGCAGCGAGTGATGCGATGAGAAAGTGGAGTAGGACCAGACTGGACATGGCAGGGGGTTTACATCTTATTCTATGATCAAGGAGAATAGGGCAGCGATTTGGATTCCTTTAAAAGATGACTCTGCTGGGCAGAGCATGGACTTTAGGTGGGCAGTAAAGGAAGGCCCTTTGGACAGTGTTTGCAGTGGTGGCCTGGATGAGGGGGCAATATTGGCTGAAGCAAAGGTGGTGGGAGTAGAGATGGAGAGAAGCAGAAGGATTCAAAATATATTATGGAGGTAGAACTGACCTGACAGATGATGGGCAAGGAGGCATTCTAGGTCATCACTTAAACCCTGGATAGATGACGTTAAACTGGTAACACACACTCCACTGCTTACAATTGTGACAGATAATATGAAGGAGAAAGTCATGATTTTTGGCAGCTGAATTGGACTGATCTTGAGGGGTCAGATATCATCACACTGATGGGATAAAGGCTACTACCTCACAAACTCATCTCTTTGTAGTCAGATTATATTTATTCTTAGTCATAGAAGCTCAAAGGCATGTAAGAGACTGGAAATGTGGTCTCACACATATATATCTGAACTGTCACTTAGAGTAAAATAGAAACTATTCAACAAGGAAATTTACCAAGCTTATTATAACATTTACTGATTCATAAAAACTTAAGGGATATTTTTCTTGATTTTATTAGGCAAATATGAATATCTTCTTATGAATTTATTCTTAGCTTCCTTTCAGCATGACAAAACCTCTTAGAAAACCATCTAATGGCTAGTTAGTTCTGTCATCTTCTAGCATTTAGGAATAAGTGGGTCCCCATTCAGCACAGAGAAGGGGTGGGTGCCCAAGGTCAGACTTCAGGCTCTATGGCCAGTAGACCCTGCTATGGGGACCTGGAAAATGGCCCCTGAAGGAAGAGGGTAACAAGGTTCTGCCTTCTTGCAGATTTGGGCATTCGGATTCCTGTCGGACACGTGGACTACTTCATCAATGGAGGCCAAGACCAGCCTGGCTGTCCCACTTCCATTTATGCAGGTCAGAAAGCCAGAAATACTCAGTGTTTGGCTGCTCCAGAGACTGGACTTTATCAACAGGTTTCGTGTTGAGTCAGCCAGTGTGAGCCACAGGAGTCTTCCTGACAGTGTCCTTTGCTATGTCCCATCGAGCTTACTCAGCACTTATTGAATGGATGTCTGTGGAGACAAGGAATTCTAGGGGAGGACTGCCTGAAATTAAGATTGCTCCATATTTAGGTTCCCTCCCTACGTCTTAGGCCCTACCATCATCCACCATCACTCAAGCCAATAACCTCTCTTCTTCCTAGGCCCCACATTGTGGCAGAGTCCACACTAGTTACATCCTTTGCAGTGCTGTGTTGTGTCAGAACCAGGCTGGTGCACCCAAAGCTAGCTAGCTGAAGGTTCAATTCACTGCACAACCATTTCCCCAAACTAATTAAATTTAAGCTCTCCAAAATTGCTTTCAAGATAATCTTCTTGAATACAGCCAATGAATATACCTATCTTCTCTTCTAAATTTACTCTTCTGGATACTCTTTTTGGATATATTGTTTATGTTCTTAGCATAATTTTAAACAGTTTTAAATTTATCAAAAGCTAAGCATTAAGGGTTGTTTAGTCTTCTTATATTCTTCTCATGAATGCAGCTAACCTATCAACATTTCATATGGGAGTTTTGATTTCTGAATACTGTTTTTTTACCCTTTTCCTTCTTTACCAAAATTTTATCATTTTAAATATTCTTTTGACAATTGTGTTGAGTAACCACTAATCCAACTTATCAAATTCACTGATTTTCCAAATCATGTTTCTTTTAATAATTCTTAATTTTTTCAGCAATTCTAATCAGATTGGTTTGGTTTTAATGGCTTTTGAAAATTTCTTTGGCATTTTATTTGGTCACTTTCCATTTTTTTCTTCATAATACAACTTGAGAAGGGTTTAGTTTGTGTCTTCCATCTCCTTCTTGTAGCTAGAAGGGGGTTGGCCATAGACAGTGTTCCAACTATGGGGGAAAGGAAAATCCACACATAGCTCATACTTGGTTCTGGTCCCAGTGAGGGGGTCCCAAGGTGAAGGGAGAGTATGAAGACCTTAAATGCTGGAGTTATGGCTCACTATAGACCTCTTAGCCCCAGCACATTCATTCAGTATGAATTATCACAAATTTTAAAATAGTCAACAACAACAATAACAAGAAACCAAGTGTTTATTGTGTTAGGACATTTGGCAGATTCAGCGTCAGTCATTGGGTGAGGTGAACCTCAGTACATTGGCTTTCATAGATGGACCATGAGCTGCTGCTGACTCCCTTGATTGTCTCTTTGTTGGATTGGGTTTAATGAGGTTGAATACAATTGGTTGTGTGGGTGATGCTGAAGAAGGCAAAAATGTGCAGACCAATATTTTGAGAAGTAGGGTCAGGATCGCCAACTCTTCACATGCTCCCATTTTCCAAAAGAGAATCTGCATGATCACGGAAGAATGGGTCTCTAAATAAGCAATTTTATTGGTAAATTAAGCTTAGTTAAAAGAAAAATTAAAAAAAAAAAGGAATCACTTCAAAAAAAATTAAAAAGAAAAATGAGAGTATAGTAACCATGTTCATTAATATTTCAAAAATGTGGCTCAGGGGGATATCCCATGTATTTATAGCCTGTTGGACTATAACATTCAATAGAGTGACAGTAAGTAGCATGGAGGGAGTTTCCATGTGTCTTGAACTGAAACTTGTTGTGTCTTTTGGCCTTGTTCAGGCTACAGTTATCTGATCTGTGATCACATGAGGGCTGTACACCTCTACATCAGCGCTCTGGAGAACTCCTGTCCACTGATGGCCTTCCCTTGCACAAACTACAAGGACTTCCTTGCTGGACAGTGTCTGGATTGTTTCAACCCTTTTCTTCTTTCCTGTCCAAGAATCGGTAAATACTCCTCCTTTGACTCCCTCTGACAACTTGGGGAGAGTTCAAGCCTTGTCACCTCTTCAAGTCCTGATCTCCTATGGTCAAAAAGTCTATTCAAGTTGGGTAAAGAAAATTTAAGTAATGTTCAAAATTCAGCTAGAAGGTGTTCTCACCTAGAAGGTGGCCTTTAGCTTTCTGTGTCCCACCCACCCCCAATACTGCTTCCTGATGCCATATGCACTCTGTGCACACCCTTCACACACACAGAGACCCTGACCCACAAGTCTACCTCAGGATCCTCTCCAGAAGCATCAGTGTGGTCCAGATCCCCTGCACCCACTCTTGGACCTGATGCACACCATAGTTTTTGTGCACCATGGTCTTCCGTGCTAGGCCAGCCGTTCTCCAGTTCCTGAGAGGCTTGAAATCAAAGTGCTGTGGGGAAATCCCTAAGACTGGCACACATTGCCTGCCTTAGGGGTGTGAGGCCACGTGCCAGCTGGAGGGGTTCTTAATTGCTGATTGACCTGGACACATCCCTGGAGGATCCCGGCTAGTCTGGAGAGAATGGCTCGGGAAGGCTGAGGGATCCAGCCTCAGCTCACCCTGTGCAGATCATTGTTGTGAATATCCTGGGGTTATCCAGCCTGAAGCGTTCCCAGGAAAAACTCCTGGGTAATGTGTGATTCCTCCCCCTCCTTCACTCTCCCACTTCCCACCCACCAGCTGCCACTCAGAACTGCAGCAGCCTGCCATTGCTTATATGAATGAAATGAATATCAGCTTGACAAAATGTTAAAGTAGGTGTGGTTTCCCATAATAAAGCAAAACAACATTACTTTCTGCTCATCAGGCATATGTCACTGTTTCCCACACGTGTGATGGACCAGATGGTTAACAACGACTTTACACTCTCTGCTCAGCCTCATCTCCCACGGGATTTTCCTTTTTTTCTAAACACCTCAGGGATGCTAATTACTCATACTTCCAAGAATATTTTTCATGTTTCCTCACCCAATATCCCTTTGGCCAGACTTTACTTTCTGCTTGGAAAGCCTTTCTCCAACTTGTCAACCATTATTCTTCAGCTCAAACACTTTCTGTGCTCCAATGCACAGGATACAAATACCACTAAAAGAACTATCATATAGATTGTTCGGCAAGTTGGAGACATCATTTCATAATTTCATATAAATACCCCCGGGAGTGGACCAGATAATCTGTATTTGCTGTCTACTTGTGTGTTTATCCTTGTCTGGATGGAGTTGCTGTACCCCAGGACTCACACAGTTGTTTGTAGAATGAACAGGTGCATGAATTAATCACTGAAAGGCTGGGTGCCACTGAACCCTGAAATGGCCTCCTCAGGGCCCTGCTGTCTTTTCTTCTTTATCTCCAGGGCTGATAGAACAAGGTGGTGTCAAGATAGAGCCACTTCCCAAGGAGGTGAAGGTCTACCTGATGACCACTTCCATGGCTCCGTATTGTGGTGAGTGGGGAGGAACGCCCTGCTTAACTCTGCCAGTGTGCTGACCTGCTGAGTCCAGGGCTCCAACTTAGGCTGTGTCCAGCCCAGCATGGTAGCCAAAGTGGGAGGTGAAGAACTGGGGCAAAAAGGTCGTGGAAAGTGAGAGGTGTAGGTCAGCATCTCCTGGGCTTAGATAGAACCCAAACTTATCAGAGCCAGCCTAAACCATTGCTGTATGGATAAGAACCTGGGGGCATCTTATCTTTTGGTCAGTATCTGACCTTCATTCCTCCCACCCCATCATGGAATCCTGCCCTCCAGTGTGGGCTCTCTCTCTAGGGTGGTATTTGGGAGAACCTTTTGGATTTCTTCTTCCTGCATACATTTCCCCCTCCTCATTGCCCACCCTGTGTGTCTCCACTCTAGCAGTCCTCCTACGTCAGGGTTCATGAGGAATACTGAACCTTCACATATATATTTCAACTGTTTACTGTGACTCCTAACCACTGCATTTCATTGAAGCTAAGATGCCGGTGATCGTGAATGATGATTAATGTGAGAGAGAAAAGGGTATCTTAGAATCTATAACATTAAATTAAGAGCTGAACCATCCTCCTTTCTATGCCATTTGCATCTTATCTAGGTTGACTATACTTTCTAATTTTTTTTTTTTATCCTGGGGTCTTGTCTGCTTTATTGTGTGTTCAGAATAGAAGTATGCTGGTTTGGATGGGAAATTATATGACCACTCTAATTCTAAATTATTTTTTGATCACTGGAGTCTGGCTGGTTGTTGGAGGGATCTTTGTGGCCATACCTTCCCAGTAGTAGAGGGCCTGAAGTTCAGGCTCAGTGGTCACCCAAACCTGACTTGCTCTAGGATTCTCTGTTCACCTGCTGTGTGATCAGGAGCAAGTTCCTTAACCTTTCTGAACTTTTACACACTTGTGTGGAAAATAGTACTTATTTCAAAGAATTAATTGTGAGGATCAAATAAAATACATAGTACACAGGCAATCACTGCACAGTGACTGGATTCAATAAGTAATAATTCCCTTCCCTCTGACAATGGGAGAATTTGGGAGCCGAGATGGGGGTGTTTGTAACTTCATTAGAGAGAACTCTTGGCTACTTCTTAAGAATAAAGTTGGTCAGCTGTGGGCTTTTCACATCCATCCTCTCATCTGACAACCCAGCCCTGAGCGGTGATGTGCCCAAGGCTCCATGGGAGGGTGAAGAAGTCAGGATTCAACTCCAGTCTTCTGACTTCAAAATCTTTACCCTTTCCACGCCATCATCACTTTCCTCCACACTCGTATCTCTGCCCCCTCTTCTGAGAACCTGCTTTTATCAGTCGTCTTTCTCAGTTACTCTTGGGTCCTTGCCACCGCTCAGAGGTCAGCCTGAGGCAGGATGCTTTGTCTGGGTCAGAGGCAGGGCTTGGACCGACTTCCCATTTCTACTTCCAGCTCCAGGGCAGCTTTGTGGTGTCTCCTCCCTGTCTGGACAGCCAGGGAGCCTGAGGCACACCTGAAGGTTGAGGGCATTTTTGGATCCCTGCTGAGGGAAATTCACTGGACCACACCTTTTCTGTTTCGTCTTTGTTGTGAGATCCCCTCCCCATCCCCTCAGAAGTATGGTTACGTCTGTTCACAGACCTCAGAGGGGCCTGCATCCTGAGCCTGCCATTCTGAGCATCAGAGTTGGGCCCCTCCTCTCCTGGTGGTGGGGTATGGGTCGCCCACCTGGTACCCCACCTGAACATCTCCCGCTCTCATCTGCTCCCAGGCCACTGTGGCACTGAGCTCCCACTCCCCAGCACTCTTGACCTGCCTCAGCCTCAGCACTGCTCACCAGGACAGCTGTCACCCTTGGCTTCTGCCAGGCAGGTGCCAGCATGGACAGAGAATCTGCTCCCCAAAAATCATTTTTCCAAAAATACTATTTTTCTCTTGTAGAGCAACATTTCACCCAAAGTGTTTTCTCTCCATCACCTCATTCCTCACAGTGTACTATGAGGTGATGTTGGGGGTTATTGGTTCTACGTGAAGGAAGTGAGGCACAGAGAGTTTCGGTGGCTTAGACAGGACATCACAACTGGTAAGCAGCAGGGCCTCACCTTGAATCCAGTTCCCCTGGCAAACCATCACGGGCTCATGTGCTGTTGCCCTTGTCAGGCCCAGAGCAGGTAGGAATTTCACTACTAGTTCCCATCCACCAATGTTAGCAGACCTGGCCCTTCTAGGGCTTCCAGAGTAATCAGAGACGAGATCAGCAGAACCTCAGGAAACTGTTTTGATCGGTGATACCTGCTGGTAAAGTGATATATCCAACTCAGCACAGAGAATTAGATTCCTGAAGCTATGTAAGGTAGACATTTTTTTCCACGTTGTGATTATACACTCTTGTTCAGCCCTTGCCTGTCAACATAACACTCTGCATCCACAGTAAACAACCAAGAAAGAGAGACAGGAAGGACATGGCATCTGATGTTCCTCTCTGTGAAGGGGCAGAATGCAGTGATCTCCTGTCTTCTTGTGGGTTCTCGGCAGGAGTCCGGTTGCTAACCCTGTGAGCCCATATGGGTCACATCATTACTTCAGCTTGGGCTGTCTCCCTAAATCCACTTAGTCCCTCCACCCAATATTCACCCATAAAACATAACAAATCAAAAAGTACAGATAGGGCAGAGGTGAAGGACTACCTCTAGCTATGTCCCAACCACCAAAGGAGTCTGTGAAAATGCTCAGAGACCAAAGTCCCAGCCAGGTGCCACCAGATGGGCTTACCCCTTATTGAGGAAAGGCTAGGGTGTTGGGGAAGCTGTAATCCTTCTTAACCTCTCTTGACAGAGGGACCACAGACTCAGGGGTATCACCGTGAACCAGGCTGCTCACCCAGTCTGTGCGGACAATACCAGCTTTGAGAGCCCGTTTCAGTGCTGCCCCAGAGGGCAGAGATGCCACATAGGCCCCCAGCCACCCCAGGGAGGGCCGCAGTCGTCTCCTGCACACATGGTGGATTCCCTGACACTGTGTGCATGCTAGCGGGGAGGGGCGATGCTGTATTTTATGAGTTAATTATTTAGTATAAGATAGACACTGTTTGGTTTTCATAATCACACCATCAGGATAATGTTGCCAAACAGAGAGGAGAGGCACATTCTTGGATTACAAGTAATAATAAAACTATCATGTATTGAATGATTCCTAGGAACAGACACTAAGGACTTTATATGTATTCATTCATTTAATTCTCATTCAGAACTGTGAGGTATGTAATTTTGTTATCCCAATTTATACTCGGCAACAGAGGATGATATAGTTAAGATAGCATCACTGACTCAAAGGACAAGAATTTGAGCAAACTCCAGGAGACTGAAGGACAGGGAAGCCTGGTGTGCTGCAGTCCATGGGGTCTCAAAGAGTAGGACACAGCTGAGCTGCTGAACACAATTTAGACTTGAGGAAGCTGAGAACCTGTGATAAGAGGTAACTGCGTCCAGTCACACAGCTGCTAAGTGTTAGAGTGAGATTTCTCACTGCTGTGCTGCTCTCTGGGATTTTTCATGTATTGCTCCCACTGACCTCTGGCCCCGTTGTCTGCTCTGCTTTGGTTTCTCAGTGCATCACAGCCTCGTGGAGTTTCACTTGCAGGAGCCAAGAAACAAGGACACCTGCATCACAGTCACTTTCCTTAGCAGCAATGTCACCTCCTTGGTCAAGGTTACCATGTACGTAAGTGTCTCACATGGCTGGTTTCTCTCCTTCTATTTACATACATGCACGGACATCCCAGGCCATGCTCTGTGTGGTCACTGATGGGTGGGTGGAGCCAACTGGGCTGGGGGTGGGGGTGAGGGTGGCATCTGGGGATGAGGGTGGCACCTACCACAGATGGACCCACAGACACATGCCAGGCAACTGTTCCAGGTTCAGGATGAGTATCGGGCCCAAGCAGAGTGTATTCAGACAATAGCAGGCAGGCAGCAGTAAGGGAACATCCCAACAGGGGGTGAGAATGTGGGAGCTAGGTCCCTGACAGGACATTGTGTCAGGAATCCAGGCAGGGGCATCAGAGATGCCAGCAAATAGGAGGACCTCGGCCATTGGCCCAGGCAGGGCTGATGAGAACCCGGGAAGCCCCTACTCCTGGGCGGAGGGATGGGGGAGGGGGGAGGGGGGCTATCAGAGTGGGTTACCAGAGCAGACTCCCAAGCAGAGGGTAACTTAGCCAGTGAGTGCCAGGTGAGGGCCAGCGGGATTGATGCTCAGTGGTGTCAGTCCCTGGAACTGGGGCTGATTTCCTTCCTTTGTGGNCACCCCCCCACCCCCCACCCAGACCACGGGTTCATGAGATGTGACCCTGGGAGCAGTGATATCAGGCATGGGGACAAGAGGCTGGGGGTGCTAATCAGGGCCAGACCGTGCCACCCCTGGAGGACAGGGGAGGGATTTGGGATTTTATCCTGAGAGCAGTTTGGAGAGCTGCTGGAAATTTTAAACAGGAGAGTGACAGGATCATATCTGGGTTTGGAAACACTTCTCGGGCTTCAGGGATGGACATTAACTGTGCTGTCAGGGAAGATGAGTTTCCTCTTGGAGGAGTGCATGTCTGGACTACCAAACACTCTGCCACCAGGCAGGGTTCCAACTCTCCCAGTCCACAAGGCACAAGACAGCAGATAGTCAGGACCCCCCCACAGACCTGGGGTGCCCATGTAAGCCTTGCAGATTATGGCTGAGTAATTTTCATTAAATCAGTTCAAGGTCATGTTAACTTCTACAAGGGTGTTTCTATCACCTCTCCAGCCCACCTCTCTGTTGGGTAGATGAGCCAACACTTGCAGGAATCATGATAATTACACATGACTCTGGCTGATTGTTAGAATCACCAGGAGAGCTTTAGAGACTGCTGACAGCAAGCCCTGCCCCAGACCAGTCACAGTAGAATCTCCAGGCATGGCCTCACCCCCTACACTTTGAGAAGCTTCCTGAGTAATTGGAATGGATATCCAAAGATTTCTTCTTCTTCTCCCCAAAGAGACTTGCATTACTGTTTTGAAGAACATGATTACTTCAATTCCTTGGGTTTTGTTTCCTCTTGCAGAACAGAAATTGAAAAGAAGGGAAGGGGGTTTATGTGTGGTCTTTCCCCTACTTTTTATAAATTTGTGAAACCCCAAGATTTCCTTCCATTAGAAAATGGACCCAGGTCAAGTCCCCAGGCCCCCCACTCACAGTGTCCTTTATAGTCCTTCTAGTTTCTAAGCTTTCCATCCAAGCAGCCTCTTAAAGTGAACAGTTTTGTTATTTTTTCCTCTGAAATAAACACTTTTGAAATCGAAAGAAAGAAAGAAAATGGAATAGCTTTATACAAAGTTTTATGGGATCTTCCTCAAAAGGACAAAACAAACTATATGACTAACCCTGGGTTAGAAAGTACACACAAAAGACAGTTCCTCAGTACGCAGAGGCCAGAAAGGAAAGGGAAACCATGCTCCGCTTAGACAACACCAGATGGCATTCAGAGGGAAAAGCAGCGCCCTTGGGAGCTCCCTCTTTCTAACAGTCCCTCTTTCTGAGCCCAGACGAGCCTGCCCCTGAGAGGCAGCTCAGGGCAGGGCGCAGGGGAGCAGGGGCTGAGGCTCAGACCTAGCGCTGGGTTACACCAAAGCCGGAAGGAGACCACACCTGGACTCCACCCCAGCTCTGATTGGCCTCAAGGCCTATTGTTTGTTCTTTTGTTTCCATCCACACATTCATACTCAGTCTGAATAGAGTAGTCTTCACGCAAAATTCTTGGAATTCGACATCCTAGAAGAGGCCTCTGCTTCCAGCTGGATGGACCTGAGAGTAAATATCTTCACTAATCTGAATTCAGAACATCACTAGCTAGGACACTTTCCCTGATGTGTAAATCCAGGAGCTACTGTTTTACTGCAGGGTCCACCTGTTTACTTTCAAAAATCAACACCTATTTTTCACTTCATGTTCAAAGCTGTGGGGTGTGGGCGAGGTCTGGTAAGGATGATGCAGAGGACTGTGTGCCCACCTCCCAGGAACTAACTGACTGGGCTACTCACAGAGCCCCTGGGAGCCAAAGGGAAGTGAAGGCCAAATATGTGACAGTAAGTTACCTTCCCTTTCCCTTTCCCTTCCAGACCTAGACAGCAGCGTGTTGGAAAAGGAGTCCTAGCTCACCCCAGCCCTCAGTGCCAGATAAACCAGGTGAAACTCAAGCTTCAGGCTTCCCGCCGGGTTTGGAAAAAAGACCAGACGACCATCATTGGGAGGTTCTGCACTGCTCCTCTGCCTGTCAATGACAAGTAAGCCCCAGATCCACCCCACCTCAAACACACTCACCAGGATCAAGGCTGACCTCAGATGTGACCCTTGTTGAGAGGTGCAGTCTAATCATGGGGATAAGCTTCCTTGAAGGAGAGATGACAGAGACCCAGGGTGTCCTGAATCTCCTGCAGAGCCATCTTGGGTTGGGATGCTAAGAAGCCAAGGAGGGTGAACTTTAATTCCCCATTCCCAGTTTAATATAAGAAACTCCATTTTATCTGATAGATATATATGTTTTATGTATCTGTTCTATTTAGTTTCTCTGTAGAATTTTATTGGGACAAAGATTGTTCATTGCATATTTCCTCTTCTTCAGCCTCTGCTGGTCACAGTCATGGGTGTGAATCTGGAATTCCTATCCCCTTTGTACCACCTCTAGCAGGCATTTAGAGTATGTCTTACCACACCTGACCCTTGGAGGACAGGAGTGGACTCCTGTGGTAGTCATCCCATAGATGATTGTAGACATGACATCATGGAAACACAAGGGCACACAATTCTGAGCCCTCTCTCCTGACCAGCCAGGAACCTGCCCTGAGTGCACACCCTCTTGTTTCTCTTCTCTTGCAGCAAAAATATGGTCTGCTTACCTGAGCCAGTGAACTTACAAGCAAGTGAGACTGTTTCTTATGACCTGAAAATAACCTGTATATAGTATATGGGCAGGATACATCCCCCCTGGATTGGGGGTGGGGAATGATGGGCATTCAACTTATTCTAAGCCATTATGACTAAGAAAGAATGCAGAAGTCTTATTTACTTTCTCCATAATTAGCCACCTTAGAGGGGAGAGAGAGTGCTCATTTTACAGAGCTTTATCTCCATTGTCTGTTGAAAGAGTTTTACAAAGATACCATTTCAACCTTCCTGTTCATACTTAACTGCAATTGCCCCATGTGCTTGGACAACTGTACCTAGGATTCAATGGAAACATATACAGGAGAAATACTTTTTTTTCAAATAAAACAATGGAATATCTGAATCATTCAGTTGTTTTATTGGAATGAAAATCTGTTATGTACAAAAAATGTGATTTACAATCTGCAGGATTGGAGAAAACAGTAGATGCTGAATACTCTGCATTAAAATAGCAACTGAAAACAAGTGCTTGGTATAAGACAGGGAATGGAGGATGGGGAGGAAGATGATACCATTCACCGTCCCTTACCATTGCCTTCTCTGGGTATCTGGGAGGTTTAGGTGCTCAGAGCAATCTGGAGAATATAGGTGGATTTTCTTTGGGTCAGTGTTTCTCAAATTTTGATCTTTATAAATAACCTCGTGTCGAGCCATAGGCCAACAAGAAACAGATGGTACACTCAAATTGGGTAATTTGAGAATTTATTAAGAGGACTGTTTACAAAGGTGTTGGCAGGAAGTGAGGAAATCACGAGGGACAGTGCTAGTTCCCTGGGGCGGGGGGCAGCGGGAGCTGCTGTGTTCTATGTCTGAAGAGGCCAGAGGAGGAAGCCCCAGAGTCTGGAGACAGAGAGATCTGCGGGACCTCTGGTCAAGGGACAGTGAGGGGGCAGCAATCCTGCAGAGAGGGAACCAAGAAAACAGATTCTCCATCCTGTTTTCTTTCTTCCCTCATTCTCCTGCTGGTATTCCCACTGAGTGACTCCAGCCAGAAGCTGGAAGGCAAGAGGCACGTTGATGTGGCCCCAGGGCATAAAGCAGAACAGAGAAGATGGGAATGACTGGGATGGCTGTGGGAACAGAGAGACATGGCGTACACTTTCACTGCCTTCTCCATAGCCAAGTACTCCTGGGTTCCTCTGCACTGAATAGTTTTGCCTGTGTTGTGTGTGTGCTCAGTCGCTCCAGTAGTGTCCAACTCTTTGAGAGCCCCTGGACTGTAGCCCTCCAGGCTCCTCTGTCCATGGGATTCTCCAGGCAAGAATACTGGAGTGGGTTGCCTTTTCCTCCTCCAGGGGATCTTCCCGACTCAGGGATCAAAACTGCACCTCCTGTGACTCTTGCACTGGCAGGCGGATTCTGAACCACTGAGCCACCTGGGTTTGGCTTAAGTCTTAAAAATCATTTTAACCATTTTTAAGTGTATAATTTAAGTAGTATTAAGCACATTCACATTGTTGTGGAGCCATTACCACTATCCATCTCCAGAAATTTTTATCATCTAGGACTGAAACTCTGTCCCATTAACCAATAACTCCCCATTTGCTGCTCCCCTCAAATGCTGGTAACCACCATTCTAATGACTGTCTCTATGAATTCTACTCTTCTAGAATAGCTGATGCAATCATACAATATTTATACTTTTGTATCTGGCCTGTTTTACTTATAATGTTTCCATGGTTCATCCATATTGCAGCAGATGTCAGAATTTCCTTCTTTCTCAAGGGTGAATAATATTTTATTGTGTGTATAAACCATATTTTGTTTATTGTTTCATCCATCAGTGGACACTTGGATTGCTTCCACCTTTTGGCTGTTGTAAATAATGCTGCTAAGAACGTGGGTATACATACAGTGTTTGAGTCAAGAAAAAAAAAAAACTAAATAAATGGGCTTTGAAAGGAAACTGCTGACTTGCCAATTTACTCTCCACAATAGAGGCTGGGTAAATGATGCAAGCAACAGGCGGCAGCTGCATCCGGGCTAAGTCACCTAGGTTATCAGGAGAGAGAGCTTCAGCCCTTGTCCAAAGGCCAGGTGAATGCTGTGTCTGTGAATGCTCACAGACACACTTTGTTTTCTGCATTGTCCACCGCAGTTAGTAGAACAACATATCTGAAGAATCTTCTTCAGTATATGGACTTAAGAGGTTTTTTACCCCTTCAAAACCCAAACTCCTCTTTCCTTTTATCCTTCCCTTTTTTACTCCACCCAGGTTCCCAGCAAGAACCTCCCTAGAGGAAAGGGTGGAGGCCGAAAGCAGAGCAAATGCCAGTGTGGCTGAATGGAAAGCTGAATTTAGGGACCGTCCCAAATGCCCTGTGCTGAACCTAGAAATGTAAAGGCCAAAAGTGATCACAGGGAACTTAATTTCTAATTTTAAAAAGGTTTTACAAGACTATCCTTTTTTTGCATGTGTATTAAATAAGGTTTTAGGGAGGGAAAAAAAAAACCTCCCTAGAGATAGACCTACCCTGAACTGAATGAGGCTGCATTTCCTGTTCTCTTACTTTAAAGCACTGTTAGACTCTCACATTTTATTTTGCTCCCCATCAGAAACTAGATCATTACCTTACATGGAAAGCCAGTTTCCCTTATAAAAATAAATACGAGAACATAACAGTGTTTAAAAACTCCAACTAGCTCCTGTGGCTTGCTGAAGGCTCTATGCCCCAGGCCTGCTTTATCCTTATTAAAAAGAAAAAATTAGCAAGTGTGAGAGAAATGTCAAAAACTTATCAACACCTAACAGAGACTTTCTTCTGTATATGCAATCAGTGGACTGAAAGAAATTTAGAGCATGACTAAAAAATTCACCATGAGATCTGATGTTATTTATTGCTGGGTCTATGTGCTACATTAAACTACACTGCTTATGCTCTAGGAAACCTGGCTTTACATATGTGGGATGTGTGTGGAGTTAAGAAAAGGGGAGTGGTAACAGAACTTGCTTGATGGCAGGGCAAGTGTGGGTCTCCCATTCACACCCATGTCACTCCCAACTCCCGCTGAGACAGGGTTTCATGAACAGAGACTGTTGTTCAGTTGCTAAGTTGGACACCGTGAACTACAGCATGCCAGGCTTCCCTGCCCTTCACTATCTCCTGGAGTTTGCTCAAATTCATGTCCATTGAGTCAGTGATGCTATCTAACCATTTTATCCTCTGCCGGCCCCCTTCTCCTTTTGCCTTGAATCTTTCCCAGCATCGGGGTCTTTTCCAATGAATCAGCTCTTTGAATCAGATGCCCAAAGTATTGGAGTTTCAACTTCAGCATCAGTCCTTCCAATGGATATTCAGGGTTGATTTCCTTTAGGATTGACTGGTTTGATCTCCTTGTAGTCCAAGGGACTCGCAAGCATCTTCTCCAACACCACAGTTCAAAAGCATCAATTCTTGGCACTCAGCCTTCTTTATGGTACAACTCTCACATCCATACTTGACCACTGGAAAAACCATAATTTTGACTATACAGACCTTTATAGGCAAAGTGATGTCTCCTTAATTCAGGAATTGGCCCCTATATTTATGTGATACTAAAAACATTAATTCTGGAGGCTTCTTCTCTCTGCCACTATTCTGAGTATGTTCAGTTTGTACTGCAGTCCCCAGAGTGGGCTCCATTTACTAGGCTTTCTCCCCACAGGGTAGACCAGAGGCACATGGTTCATTTGTTCTTTGTCAATCCTCCATTGCTTCACCTAAGAGTTGTTTTATGGTTACCTTCAGTTCTTCAGAGTTTAAAAATCTGTATTGATCCAGCTTGCTTGCTTTCTTGTGGAGTTAATTCTTTGAATCTGAATGAACTTTCCATGTAATGCAATTCCTTCACATATTATTATTGTAGTCTCTCCAACCTGTCAGAAAGTTTTCACATCCTAATCTTATCTTAAAGAATACTTAGTGCTCCCTCTAGGCTTTATGTCATTTATATCTATATCTATATGTAGATATATATGATATTTTTTGTAGACTCCTATATCTATAGCTAAGAACTTGAAAGGAGGCCAAGGGTAGAGACCTACTTCTGTGTTAGTTGCTCAGTTGTCTCTAATTCTCTGCGACCCCACGGACTGTAGCTCCCCAGGCTCACCTGTCCATGGAATTCTCCAGGCAAGGATACTGGGTTGCCATTCCTTTCTCCAGGAGATCTTCCCAACCCAGGGATCAAACTCAGGTCTCCTGCATTGCAGGCAGATCCTTTACCAACTGAACCACCAGGGAAGCGGAGATAACAAATCGAGATCAACAAATTGATTGATCTTAATCAAGAACATATTATGAGGAAAGTTTCAATTCTTTATATGTACAATACCCTGACTAAAATATGATTAATTTAACTTTAGCATGACTTAATTCCCAGAAATGCAGGCTCCTAATAATTGCTACTTTATTATCTAAATACATGCCAGCAAACTTTTTAGTGAATTATTCTTTGCTGGGAATCAACATCAAACTTCCTGATCTCTAATTTTAAGAGATCTCTGCTTTCTGGTTACTGGAGGGAATATATGTACCCACCATCTTCTAACCTTCTCTTCGGGATTATCTACTGATTACTGAATAAAGACCCCAGTTACCCAGCAAAGTCTTTCTAAAACAAGATTATAATTCAAGGTCTGAATACTGGGGTTGATTTAAATCAATTGAGTGATTTCTTTTCAACCTTGGTGTTCCTGTTACTTTCACCCCAAAGCAATACATGTTCATTTTGACAAGTCAGATTGTAGACACACTTTATGGTTTCCATGACCCCAAGGTAATGAATGTTAATAGCTTGATGTATGTCCTATACATCTTTCACATCAATACAAATATACACACACACTTGTTGGACTTTTTTTGTTTGGGTTTTTTCTTTTTAAACAAAGATGAAATCATAACACACATCATTCTGTAATTTTCCTTTGTTATTCACAATATATCATGAATATTCCTCCTGGGCCATACATAGACTTAATTTATTCCCTGGATATATATATTTCAGAGCATGGTCATACCATAATTTAACCAGACACTTTTTTGGGATGAATATTAAGGCTGTTTCCAGTTTTCTTCAATTACAAATGGTGCTGCAATAAGTATTTTTGTAAATTTACTTCTATATGATATATTTCTTTAGTGAGAAGAGCTGGGTCAACACAGTAAAAGTTTAGTAGTGCTGTATTACTTTCCAAAAATGTCATATCAATTCACATACATTCTGACAACGGTTGAAAGAAATAGTTTCTTTGCAACTACTTATTCAAGTAATTGCTTCACCTAAGATCAGTAACCCAAATCACCAAATTTCTCCTCTGGAGTTACCATGTGGTATTCAACACTTTCCAAGTTGGCTGACCAGTTGGACATCCATGAAATTGGAGTAATGCTCTTTCCTTCAGAAGAATAGGGGCCTGAAATTTTATTACCTTTCAAAAATGACATTCATCTAGACACAGTAGTCCTCAGAGCAGTGAAATTTCCTATAGGTGAGCCGTGATGAACTTTTAAAAATAAAGGCTATGTTTTTATGATTATAAAATTGAACTAATTTTTTAAAAAATTTATTTTGCTGTGCTAGGTCTTAGGTACATGGGATCTTTGATCTTCAATGCAGCATGTGGGATCTACTTCTCTGACCAAGCCCTGTGCATTGGGAACATGGAGTCTTAGTCCCTGGACCACCAGGGAAGTCCCAAAATTCAACTAATATTAAAAGTTATGAAAGAGAAAGTGAAAAGCTAAAACTTTAGCATTCTAACCCCTTTATATAAATTATCATATAATTCTCCAACAATTGTATGTATTACTTCATTTTACATATAAGAAAACTGAGGGACAGGAAAATTTAACAACTTGCCCATAGTTAGACAACTAGGTTCAGGGTTCACACCAAGCTGTCTGACTCTGTCATCTGGGCTCTAACCACCACATTATACGGTTGTACATATAAAATTGCCCAATTGGTTTCTAGTACTTAGATGTCTTAACCAATGTCTCTAAAGAAAGATCTCCTTAGTCCGGCCCCATTCTATCTAACTAAAATTACCTGCCATTTCCCCCAGTGTGCTTAAGCCAGTATTCCCTAAAAGATACTGTGGACAATACCTTCCCCAAGCCTTTGCAGCTGCTGCTACCTCCATTCAGGTTCTGCCAGTCGTTCTGGGTCCACTTCCAGCTCTCTCCTCTGGGAAGCCCGGCCACTCACAGGTCATTGCAGTTGGTATCTGTGCAGCCTTGCAGTGATGGTGAATAGCTTATTCCAAGTTGATCAGGCTATATTTTCTCTTTCTCTGTGTCTTCCATATCATAAGCATGCAATAGAAGCTCTTTTAATTAAAGATAATGCTCTAAGGATATAGACAAAGGCAAACAAGAGAAGATAAGGCACAGAGAGACTTGACTCTAAAGGTTGGTGTCTTTTCACAAGTTTTAGGAATGGCCTTCTTTTATTCAACTTGTCTTAAAATTTCACCTGCCATTGTTACACTTTAACCTTTAAAAACCTCTGCAGAGGGAAGCTCTGGTTGTGCATATAGAGGAAACTATATTGAAACATAACTCTTCCCAGATTGCTGCATTCTCATCCAGTCCTTCATCTCCTTGTTGAGTGTTCCTAAGTGACATTCTGAAAGTGACATACTGCTTTCCCTAGCCTTAAACACACCTCTGACCTCACTTTCGAGCACACCCAGGCCCAGTGGTGACCATCTTAGTCCTGCCTCTTCTCCAGAAGGGATGGCTTCCTCCTTCTAGAGGAGTTTAGAGGCGATGGGAACATTGCTGTTCCTGAGTCCTTCTATGCCCGTTTGAAGGCCTTGAAATCCTCCCTGATCCTCAGTATTTGCCCTCTTATTTATGAAACCATACTGTTTAATTTTTGTGGCCATTCAGTATCTTGACAGTAACCCAAACTCAATTCATGCAAAATCAAATCAACACCTCCCCCAAAGTTATTCTTCCTCTCCTTACTGTAAGAGCCACCACCATCATCCAATCTCCAGGCTTGAGGCCTGAGTCATCTTTGACGCAGAACGCACTTGCTCAAAAAAACAAAAAACAAAAAACTGTTTCTTAAAAAATTGTCTGTTACCTGTCCCCTCCTGTCTGTTCCCTCAGATATGTGGTAAGACCCTGGATCTGACACCAAACTCAAACTAGTCTCTTTTCCCCCAGATTCTTTCTCCTCTAGTCCATTGTATTTACCTAGGCCAGATAACCCTTCTACAAACTCTTTTTAAACTTACTGTTCTCCTGCTCTATAATTTTCACTGATGTCCTTAGAATAAAGGCTTCATTAACTTCTTAATGTAGACTTCCAGAACTTTGTGGCTAAATTCTTATCTCTTCTCCTTGATTTCTTTCTTACTCTTTAGCAAAAGAAATCCTTAGCCCCTGATGAGTTGATTCACTATAATTATTATTATTATGTTCTTTAAATAACCTTTCACATTAGTCATCAAGCCACAGAGTGTCAGAGGAGGAAACCAAGACCCAAAAAGATTAAGGGAATTTCCCAAAGCTGTTAGTCACTAGAGGAAAGCATACCTATTCTCCCATTTATATTGTACTTCCAAACTTGGGCACTTCTACTGGGTTTTGATAAATCTAAATGGCTCTTCATTACATGTGAGTGGGAGCTTTAATAACATTTTGAAGATAAACAAGGGACAGTGTTTATCTGGAAGTAAACCCTTGCTGCTGCCTTGAAGCTGTGGATCTCTAACATCTATCCAGGCCTAAGCCAGTACAGATTCTTAGTTTAGACAGAGCTGGAAGGTGGGGAGGTGGGAAGAAATCTAGGTAAATACCCTACGAAGAGCAGCCTCATATACGGGTACCCCTCTTCAAGGCACTGGGGTCAGACTGACTTAACTAGAAACAACCCGTCTCTCTTGCAATCACCAGGCCTCAACTTTAGAACTCCCACAGTGTTCACTCAGCCCTCCTGGTTTGGGCTTGAAACTGAATCTACACAACCTCAGGATTACTTCCTTTGACTCTCAACCCAACCTTCAATTCAGAAGTTACCCTCTGCTGTATTTCGTATCTGGAGAGTACAGTGAAATGGGTAAAGCTGGAGACAAATAATCACAAAACCAGAATATTCACTCATTCAGCAAACGCTTACTATAAGCCAGCGATGTACCATGTACCAGGCACCATTCTGAGGGCAATCTTCTTCTTAACAAGAACTACAACATAACTGAATGTTTACTATGTCCCAGGCATGTTTAAGTATATATACTTAAATTCTTACAACAAACATATGAGATGTTCTTTTTTTTTTTTTTTTCTATTTAACATATGAACAAGGTAGGGGCTGAGCAGTAAAGTTACTAGACAGAGAATGACATGAGATTAAATGGCAGAGCTGAAATTCGAACCCAGGCAACCCAGCCCCAGAGCTTCATATTCTTGACCTGACATTAAATTAACAGCGAGTCTTAACCCAATGTCTACTTATGTCATCTCATCTCCTTAAAAAAATGTTAACAAACATTTACTTATAATGACAAAATGTCTGGCCACGTGCTAGATGCTGAGAATGCAAACACAAATAAGATGGAAAGGACTATTCTCTTCAGAAACTCACTCGTTAGCTCACAAGTGAGCCATCATGTGCCAGGGTTGGTGGTCTATAATTTACTTTAAAATACTTCAGCTAGGGCTTCCCTGGTGGCTCATTGGTAAAGAATCCACCTACCTGTGCAGGAGACATGAGTTTAATCCTGATCTGGAAGGATCCAATGTACTTCGGAGCAACTAAGCCCATGCACCACAACTATTGGGCCTGTGCTCTGGAGCCCATGAGCTACAACTACTGAAGCCCACGTGCCCTAGAGCCCATGTTCCTCATCAAGAGAAGCCACTGCAATGAGAAACCCGGGCACCACAGCTAGAGAGTAGTCCTCACTCGCCACAACTAAAGAAAAGCCCATGCAGCAATGAAGACCCACAACAGCCAAAAATAAAAATAAATAAAAATAGTTTAAAAAAATACTTCAGGTAAACAGTGTGATACATGAGTTACCTTTAGTCAACATTCTAGGAATGTTTGATCAGTTATCTAAATCAGGAATAAATACTTTAGGGAAAGTCATCTGACATTTTACCTAAGCTCACAGTCCAGAGGCAGCTACTATAATCTCTTCAATCCTCTTCCTGTCCCCATGGCCCCATCTCAACCCTCAGAACCCCTGGGAAGCATTTAGAACTACAGATTCTAAGCCCAGGGGCCCTCAAAATTCAACTGTAACTGGTTTGCTATAAACCTAGTTTTATATTGTTTTATATATGTATATAATACATATATACTTAGTTTTGAACATTTTTGTTATAGGACATTTCAAACACATAAAAAAATTAGAAATATAGAATAATGAATTTCCATATACCTGCTATCCAGCTTCAACAATTAACAACTCTTGGGGCTGTCTTGTTTTGTCTGTGGCATTGGTGTTTTTTAAAAACTTCCCAGTTTATTTTAATATGCAGTCAGATTTGAGAATCATTGATCTAAACAAACAAATAAGTGGGATCACTGCAAACAAAGAAGAATGCATTAGACACAGTGGAAGCGGGATGATGAACTCTGACCACTGAAGGAAAAGAGATAGGGTTTCCATAACTCCTCACTGGATCTTAGGGTTTCCAGGGCTAAACCATCCCTTGGCAACCCTGATGTCTGAGACTCTGCCAGGGGTGCTTCTTTAGCTTGGCCTGAGGATCCCAGGCTGGAAGCTGGAATCACATGCTCACACACCCACAGAATGAAGGCCTTCTCAAATATATATCCATATTTAGTTGCATTAAAGTGGAGTTTACTAGGTTAGATAAAATAACAGTATAAACAGGGTGTGTGTTGTTGTTTTTTTTAATGTTTATGTTTGTGACTAAGGAAACAGACGTTAAAGTCAATTAGGAAGGGGGAAAAGGAAAGAAACTGGAGGGGAGCAGAGAACAGTGAGGAATCAAGTTACCTAATACAGTGCGGCAGTGCACAGCCCCTAGCGCGCAGCTGTTGCGGTAGGCCGTTACCCAGCAACCTGTTACCAGGCAACGGTTGCTGTGAGACCACTAAGCCAGAAGATTAGAGCGATGTTCAGTGGTCCTGCTTAGCCATTGGTCGGCACACGCAGTAGACTGCACCCCCAACCTGCAACTGTCAATGAGCGACCCCCGTTAGCGGTGCCTCTTGGCCGTTGGTCAGTCACAATGGGTCCCTCCCTAACGCAAGCAACCGTTAGTAGCACTGCTCTGCCGGTAGTCAGAGGGGTGGTGGTTGTCCAAAGGAGAGTGAGTTAAGAGGTGGGTCCTGGCCTCCCTGGGGCCCTCCAGCTTACCCGGCCTTAGGCCATCCGGTGAACTGAGGGGTCCGTGGAGCAGGCTTGGAGCTGTGTCCCCCAGGGCTCTAGAGCCCTCCACAGGCCGCACACACTGGCTGGTCCCAGGCCTTGAGGTAGTAGTGAACCTCGCCCCCATTCCTTCCTCTGTGACCTAATAGCAGCGGCCATCTGCATGGGCTGCAGTCTGCAGGATCTGGCCCCCTAACTGCTCTTTGGACGGCCTGAGGAGGCTGAGGGCTTATTTGGGTCCTGGACGCCTGGCTCCCTCAGTGATGATGGCTGGGCAGGGTCTGGGGTGGCCCTGAGGCAGCCACCAGCTGAGATCTGCTTCTTCAGCACTGGCAGGAGGACCCAGACTGGGGGCTGGACTAGAGCTCCTGGGCAGGGCAACAGTGCAGGGACTCTCCTTCCTCTTAGCCAGGGCCTGGACCCTGAAAGGTGAACTTTATGTCTTGGGACCTTGCCCTTCCTTGTCAGAACAGACTGTTTGTTTGGTGGAGTTTTACAAGAATATCATTACCTGACTGTGACTGACCTCCAGCATAAAGGCTCTGACACAAAGAAAGTGAAAAGTGAAAGTGAAGTTGCTCAGTCGTGTCTGACTCTTTGCGACCCCATGGACTGTAGCCCACCAGGCTCCTCCATCCATGGAATTTTCCAGGTACTGGAGTGGGTTGCCATTTCCTTCTCCAGGGGATCTTCCTGACCCAGGGTACAAAGACACAAAGAAGTCTGCAACTAACCATACCCCTCCCTCTCCTTTCCTAGAAAAAGGGCTTTGCTGAAAGCCTTGGGGGAGTTTGGGGTTTTTAAGATATAAGCCACCCATCTCCTCACAGGGCCCTGCAATAAAACTTTATTTGCTCCAAATTCTGACATTTTGGTATATTTGGCCTCACTGTGCAGCAGGCACACAGATCTTGTGCTCGGTAACAGCTACAAGAAACAAGGAAGAGAAGAAACCAAACTGGAGAAGGGACGAGTCGCCAATGTTTTCCTCTCAGACACTTCAGGGAGGAGGATGCATGAGGGCCAAGCTGTCCAGGGCAGGAGATGGGGGCACCAGGCCTGAGCCCCAAGACCCCAAACAGAAAGGATCTCCTTCCTCAGCCATGCACGAGTCAAAGAGAAAGTGTTCTGGCTTGAATAGTGGACAGAAGCAAAAGAAAACTGGAAAGCAGAACTAGAAGCACTAAAATCCCAAGGGTTTTATCTGACCCAAGCTGAAATGAGCTTAACAAAACTCCAATCGGTGCCACTTAAACGTCAGTGCACCGCGAGACCATGGCCATAGGTCAGAGTCCGCATGGCCCTTTGGTGCCTCCAGAGGAAGTCTAGGGGGAGAGGAGGGCTGAGCAAGGCAGCCCCACAGAATCTCCAAGTCCTTTGGGGACTGATACTGACAGAGCTGGAGGGAAATGGTGCGAGAGTGGGCAGGGAGGAGATGTTTGTACCAGCCTTGTGGGATGCATAGGGCTCAGGGCTGACAGAGGGCAATTCCAGGCCATTGAGCATCTGTCCGTTGACAGCGGCAATCATGTGCTGTGCAGAGGAGGGCTCGTGGGAAGGCTCACGTCAGAGAAGTGAACCAAAAGTGAAATAAAATCCCATGATCTCCAGGGAAATTTCTGAGTAGAAGACATGTGTAAGTGTATAAATTCAATGACAATTGGAAATGAAACTGCTGAGGGCATTGCTCACACTTCTTCAGTCATCAGGATTTGTGAGGGCTCCTACAGGAAACCAGAGTGTCCAGAATATTCAGGGAAGAAGGCCCAGAATCTCTAAGGTGGACTCAACTCCCCTCCCAGGAAGTTTTCCCCAGGGTCTCTCACAGGTGTCTCTTCCCATGGCCATCACATTCTCTGGCCCCTGGTACGGTAATAGGGTGGAGCAGGTGTGCAGCTAATAGCTCGAGACTATTATTATCAGGAGACCCTTAGAGCCACAGTTAGAGGTCCCACTCCAACAGTCAGCCTTGCAGTGGTTCTCTCCCTGCAAAGAGTGTGATGGGAAGTAGATCTCAGCCTTTTCTCCGGGGTCCTCCAGGCCTTAGGTGGGTGGGTTTAGCTGGGGGACCCAGGAATAGGCTGAGCAGACTTAGCTCTGTTACCTAATGGTGACAACAGTCTCCATGGGTCACAGTCCATGGAGGGCTCAGTACCTGGAGTATATGGCTACTGCTATTAAGGTAACAACTTCAACCAATTTCAGTCTCTCCAAAATTGGTATAGCTGAGATCAGTTGTCTACCCCTAGGAGTTGGCCAGAAGCCAGGGTTAAGTTGCAAGGACACTGTACCTCATTACTTCAGCTCCACCTCTATGGTTGCCCTTCTTTAAGAATTGTTAGAGCTAGGAATTAACTGGATTGGTATTTGCTACAATATATATTCCTAGTGATCCTATGCAAAAATTCTCTCCAGTTTAAATGAAAAGCCTGAGGGCTGGCTGGGTCCTGGGTGCCCTGCTTCCTCAGTGATGATGGCTGGGCAGGGTCTGGGGGCCTGGCCCTGAGGGTGCTGCCAGCTGAGATCTGCCTCATCAGCCAGGCCTGGGCACAGGCAAGAGGACCTAGACTGGTGCTGGGACCAATGCTCCCAGCAGGGTAACTAGCCCCACAGAGACCTGCTATTTTTAGCCAGGGCCTGGACCTCAGAGGGTGAAAGCTAAACCTTGGGATTTTGTTCTTCCTAGTCAAAACAGAAAGTAATGTTTGTTTGGTGGAGATTTGCAGAAACATCATTACCTGACTGTGACCTGACCTCAAGAACAAATGATCAGACACCAAGAAGTCTGCAACAACTAACCACATCCCTCCCTCACCTTTCCTAGAAGAGGGCTTTGCTGAAAGCTTTCTGGGAGTTCAGGGGTTTTAAGGCATGAGCCACCCATCGTCTCCTTGTATGGCCCTTCAGTAAACCTTCGTCTACTCCAAACTCCAACTTTTTAAAAATTGTTTGGTCTCCCTGTGTATGAAGCATGCAGACATGCATTTGATAACAGTACCTCACAACCCAGTGACCATTTCAGTGGCCTTGACTATTCTCCTGGCTTTGTCTACTCAAGTCCCTCAGAACATGAATATTTGAGAAACAGCTACACTCTACCAGACCCCATGATGTGCACTGAACACAATCTCCCTCCATGCTGCTCTGAAAATACCATTTCAAGGTTCACGTCCCACTGCCTTGTGATCTGTGGAGTTCGGATTCCACAGCCAGTCACTGAGAGATATTGCTTCTCTTCTGCAAGCATGCCTTCCTTTTACCTCCAGCCCACAGAATTTTACTCACATGTATCTTTTACCTGAATTGCTTCTGTTTTGCCTACTTTTCTCTATCTTTCAAGACACAGCTTAAAATCAACTTTTCTGTGACCCTTCCTAATCCCAGAAATGGGAAGTGACACCTGCTGAACTGTTATAGCTCTTGTAGTTGTTTCAACCACTGATGTTAAAGCTTTCCACAAAGGACTGGCATAGTGTTTATTTGTATATGTATCAGGGCTCTAGCTTCACTTTAAACTAGTTATGAGTCACAGGAAGCCTATTTATACAAGCGACTGGGAAATCTTCTGGGAAGATTAATCCTCAAAGGAGTCAGGCCCAGGGAGCTTGACTTAGTAAGGCTATGGTAGAGATGGGGGAGGGTGCCTAAAGCTCATGTATCTTCTTTTCTAGATCTGGAGCTCCTTCAGGGCAGAGACTTGGAGTGATTCATCCAGCAAAGCAGGTGGTATCAAGAATAGTGTTTGATAGCAGTGGATATTTAGTAAGTATTAATGGGATAAAAGAATACTTACTATCCTCTCCTTAGAGCAAATATGAGTATATGTCAGGCTTTATTCCTGAGTATATGAAGTTGTAATCCAGAGATTTTTTTAACACATGTGTGGATCTCTAGCATAGGCTTATTGTAAGAGGTTCACAAATCCATATCATGTCAATAATTTTATGGAGACTGCATAAATACAATACTTTGTACATACGTGTATGCAACACTGTTTCAAACAGATAAAGATACTATTTTGGTTGATTTTTTCAATCTATAAATTTATCTATAACCCTTACTGGAATCCAAATGTCTTTTGCCATTACATATGACATTAGACAATACAAACACAACTTCTATGACATTAAAGACTGATCCTTTTAAAAACAAACACACATTAAAAGAGGTCCCCAGGACTTCCCTGGTAGCACAGTAGCTAAGAACCTGCCTGCCAGTGCAGGAGACGTAGGTTCAATCCCCGGTCTGGGAAGATTCCACACGCCACAATTTCTGAAGCCTGTGCACCTAAAGCCTGCGCTCTGCAGCAAGAGAAGGATCGCAGTGAGCAGCCTGCACATGGGAATGAAGAGTAGCCTCCACTTGCCACAGTTAGAGAAAGCCATGCAGAAGCGCAGTCACAAATTTTTTTTTAAAGAGGTCTCCATCCCAAGGAACCTCTGTTATGTACAACGTGTAACAACATCCCTGCCTGGGCGGGCCACCAGTTTGCGGGGGGCGGGGGGGTGCGTGGGGCTACCCTCCAGGTAATGTGTTTTAGTCTCAATTTACAATGTACAATGAGCTTTTCTGTTGTTTGTTTATTGCTTCATCCACTCCCTACAACAACCCTCAAGGACTGGCAAGAGAGCGGTTGGATTTCTAAGACTGACAAGAAGCTTCTATTGTGAAATGTACATGAAGAGACAGAAATCCACAAGAAAGAAAATAAATGCACAGTATAATTTTAGGGAAAAAATGAGGAAAGAACAGAAGAGCTCTATAGAACACACTGAAATGTTCTACAAAGCACATAATTGGAATCCTAAAAGGTGAGGAAAGAGGAAATGGGGCTCTGAAGATGACAAGAAGGCAAGAGGACAGAAGGTTATGGTGAGGTGAGGCAGGTGTCTTAGCTGGGATGGTGACATTGAGCTGAGAACTAGATGACCAGAAGTAGTAGCCAGGAGAAACTATGATTGAAAGCATTGCAGAGAGAAAGAAAAACAGCAAAGATCCTCATGTAGAAAGGAGCTGGGTGTGAGTGAGGAGCACCCAAAAGTCTACTGTGGCTGAAACATGAATGAGAAAGAGAGCGGAATGAAACATGGCTGGAGAGACAGGCAGGCAGGTGGGGCCTTATGGGTCATAAGTGGCTAAAAGAGTAGCATTCATCAGGTATTTCTTTTACTTTCCCATGTTTCATAGTTACTTTAATCAGCAAAGCACAGAGTTGATTATTAAGTAGGTCCATGTGACTAGCTCTAGTCAATGGACTGAGGGCAGAGGGACTTGTGTCATTTGGGGCCAAAGCATCAAAGAGCCAGTACAGAAACTTCAAGCCATTTCTTTCTTCAGTGGACAGAGCCAGATCTAAGTAGGTTGAATCACTGAGTTGCAATACGAAGACAGTTGCCCTGATGATTCATATAGATTCTCAGTAGATTTTAAGAGCAATAAATCTGTATGACATTAAGTCATATTAGGCTGATTCTGACTAATAACACATGGTAAGAAGTTTAGATTTTATTCTAAATGTAATAGGAAGTCATTTGAAATTTTTAGCAAGAGAGTGAATACATCATACATACGTTAAAATGAACACTTTTTGTAGAATTGATTATGGGGAGGACAGACAGAAATCAGGAGCCAGTTATAAAACTATTAAAGTTTGTCTAGCCATGAAATAATGGTAGCTTGAATTTCGTGGTAGCAGTGGACATGGTGAGTTGAATTGGGGATATATTTTGAAGAAAGAACTAACAAGACAGGAGAATTTCCTGAGTAGTTAGACTCAGTGCATTCACTGCCAGGGGCCAGGATTCCATGTCTGGTTGGGGAACTAAGATCCTGCAAGCTGTGTGGCACAGTCAAAACAATCTAACAAAACTGATGGAAAGACTCCAAGGTTTGGGGCCTGGGCACCTGAATAGGGAGAGAACAAAGAGTTATAAAACTTGTTTTGGTTTAAAGATCTCTTTCAAAAGGACAAGGAAAAAGAGAGAAAATGTTTCCCAACTCCTTTCACAGAGTCAGCATAACCTTGATATTAAAACCTGACAAGGTACATAGATGCAAAACTCCTAAACAAAGTACTTATAAACCAAGTTCTATATACATAGGAGGAAAATATATCATAATAAAATTGGATTTGTTCCAGGGATGCAAGTTTGTTTTAACATTCATTTATCTGGAGTTTGTTAACAGAGTAGAGAAAAATAAACTTGACTAATGCAGAAAAATCATTTGACAAAATTCCATACTCATTCACGATTTTAAAAATTAGGACTAGAACTTCTTTAATCTTACAGGATACTATAAAAACCTAATAGCATATGTCATACTTAATGGTGAAATACTGAAAGTATTTTCCTTACAGTCAGGTATGAGAGAAGAATGTCCTCATCATCCTTGCTGTTCATCCCTGCACTTGAGGTCCTACCCAGTGCAGCAAGGCACCAAAAGAAAGAGGAGGAAGAAGAGCAGGAAGAGGGTGGAGGAGGAAAGTACAGGCTGGGAAGGAAGAAATAAAACTATCATTATTTGCAAGTGACACAACTGTATCTTGGAAAATCTGGAAGACTCCATGGATTAGTAACTAGAATTGATAAGTGGATTCATCAGGATCTCTGGATGGAGGTTGAAGATACAAAAATCCATTATTTTTCTGTATACCAGTGATAAAAGAAAGTAAAAATATTAAATAATATTTACAATAGCACCAAATTCAACAATTACCTAGAAATAAATCTAACAAAATTTGTGCAAGAATATTTGTATGGAAAACTACAGAACACTATTAAGAAAAAAGTTTTTGCCTTTTCATGAAGATGGCGCCGAAGGCGAAGAAGGAAGCCCCTGCCCCTCCTAAAGCTGAAGCCAAAGCAAAGGCTTTGAAGGCCAAGAAAGCAGTGTTGAAAGGTGTCCACAGCCACAAGAAAAAGAAGATCCGGACGTCACCCACCTTCCGGCGGCCCAAAACACTGCGGCTCAGGAGGCAGCCCAAATATCCTCAGAAGAGCGCCCCTAGGAGAAACAAACTTGACCACTATGCCATCATCAAATTCCCCCTCACCACCGAGTCAGCCATGAAGAAAATAGAAGACAACAACACACTGGTATTCATTGTGGATGTCAAGGCCAACAAGCACCAAATTAAACAGGCTGTGAAGAAGCTCTATGACATTGACGTGGCTAAGGTCAATACTCTGATAAGGCCTGATGGAGAGAAGAAGGCATATGTTCGACTGGCTCCTGACTATGATGCTTTGGATGTTGCCAACAAAATTGGGATCATCTAAACTGAGTCCAGCTGGCTAATTCCAAATATAAAAGTTTTCACTATGTAAAAAAAAAAAAGAAAGAAAAAAGTTTTTAAATGAAACATACTATGCTCATAGATTAAAAACTCAATATTATAAAGATATTAACTCTTTACCAACTTAAGCCACAGTGTGAATGTAATTCTAATAAAATTCCAGCAGAGCTATATTTTTGTGGAAATTATTAATAGCTAGCTGGTTCTAAATTTTATATGGAAATGCAAAGGGAATAAGCAAGACTTGAATAAAAATGAAGACCACCAGATATCAAAACATAAAGCTGCAATAATTAACCAGATGGCATTGTCAACAGGTATAAAAATAGACTAATGGAACAGAATAGAAGATCCAGATAGAGACCTACAAATACATGGATACTTGATTTATGAGAAAGAGGACACTGAACACTAGTACAGATAGGATAATCCATTCAGTAAGTACTGCTGTCTATTGGATATCCATAAGGCAATAACAAATTTGATCCTTATTTTATACCATACACAAAAATCAAATCCAGGTTGCTTGTAGATCTAACTGTGAAATGTAAAACAATAAAACATTTAGAAGGTAACAAAGAAGAATAAATCCAAGGCAGGAAAAATTTTCTTAAACATGACACAGAAAGCATTAATGATGGAGGAAAATATTGATAAATTACTACATTGAAATTAAGAACTTATTTTCATCAAAAGATATTTAGAGAAAAAAATTGGGATAATGCATTTGAATATCTAAGCAACAAAGGGCTTTTAACTTGAATATTTAAAGAATTCCTTACAGTCGATGAGAAAAGCATACAAACAGAGAAATGAACAAGAACTGGAGTAGACACTTCACAAGAGAGGATATCTGCATGGCTAAGAAAAACATAAAAAGATACCCTTATCATTCACCAGGAATATAAAAATTAAAACCAAAATGATATGCTGCTACAAACACGCAAGTGGCCAAAATGAAAAAAAAAAAAAAAAAAAGATGATGCCAACTACTGGGGACGATGTGAAACAACCAGAACACTCATACACTATTAGTGGGAATATTAATCAGTACAATTACCTAGGAAGTGTTTGGCAGTATCTACTATAGTTGAAAATATGCCTCAGTGGGGGGAAAAAAAAAGCCTCAGTAATTCCAGCATATACCCCCCAAATGTGTATGTATGTACACCAGAAGATAAGGCCAAGAATGTTCATAGTAGTACTATTCATAATTGCCCCAAGCTAGAAACTACCCAAACACCCATCAATAGTGGAATGGATAAATAGATTGCAGTATATTCACATAACAGACTGAAGTGAAGTGAAAGTAGCTCAGTCGTGTCCAACTCTTTGTGACCCCATGGACTATACAGTCCATGGATTTCTCCAGGCCTGAATACTGGAGTGGGTAGCCTCTCTCTTCTCCAGGGGGTCTTCCCAACCCAGGGATCAACCCAGGTCTCCCGCATAGCAGACGGATTCTTTACCAACTGAACCACAAGAGAAGCCCAAGAACACTGGAGTGGGTAGCCTATCCCTTCTCCAGCAGATCTTTGCGACCCAGGAATGGAACCAGGGTCTCCTGCATTGTAGGCAGATTCTTTACCAACTGAGCTATCAGGAAAGCCCTACAACAGAATATTATATAGCAACAAAATAAACTTTTGAAAGAGCAAGGATTGCCCGAGGATTCCCAGCTGTCCCAGCCCTCAACTGTTTGAGTCTTCCCAGCCTGGGCCCCAGACACATGGGTCAAGAAGCCTTTGAGCTGATCCTGGCTGTAGCCGCTGTCTCAGTGTAACAGCACAAGAAACTCTGAGTGAGGACAGCCCAGTTGAGCCCAGTCAAGCCCCACTTTTGTGAGCAAAACAAATAATTATGATGATTTTAACTCACTGCTTTAGGGATGGATGTTGCACAGCAATAGGTAACCAGAATAGACATGGAAGTATTTAGAAGAAAAAATAAAACAGAATGTGTTAAATTTGTAAGTCTACTTTAAAATGTTTAAGGACATTTATTTAAATAGATTTGTAAAACTCCTTCTAAAAACTGCTGTTTAATATTAGGGTCATAAATAAAGGGAAAGACTTGTAAGTTGAATGTAAAAGATTAAGGGCAAATAGATTCTAAAATTTCTACCTACCTAAGTTGAACCTTAATTGAGAAAAATATTTTAAGTAAAACAAGATAAAAACAGTGAAAACTTCTTGTATAGCTAACTTCATTGATGCTTTCAGAAAGTTGAAGGAAACAACATAAGGAAACGAAATGAGTGATTTTTTGAGTGCTTACTAGATGCCACAGCATGTCCTAGGTGATTTATTGAAATCAACTCATGGAATCCTTACAACCCTGTGAAGTGGGTTTTATAATCACCCCTTTACAGATGATGCTCAGAGAGGCTATGTGACTTGCCTGAAATTCTACAGTTAGTAAAGGATAGAATCTGTGCTTTGGCACTTTGGGATGCCTTCTCTTGGAAGGAAGGCTGATGAAGGCAAATTTCTAAAAGTCACTTGGGGGCCTTGGTGTGGTTGCAGTGCTGGCATCCTCTGTGTCTGCTCCAACCTTGCCTGTGAGCCTTCCAGTGGGTGAGAAGAGGGGTGTGCACACAAGTGACTATCCTGTGAGGATTAACGTGGCCAGATTAAAGGACGATCCATTGACCCTTACAGTTCAGGAGTCTGGGTTGGAGCCAAGGGGGCCTGTCCCCTGGACATAACTTCAGAGTAGCTCCGGAGAGGAGTTCTGGAAGCTGTGGAAAAACAGAGGAAGGATTTCAGCACTGTGGCTTGGGATAGCTCACATAACTTCAGAGGGTTCTGTTCGGGTCTTTTTTTCCTCTACAATTTCCCAATATTTTAACTGTATGCAATGTCTAACACAATAGGAGCAGTTGAATTGTTGAATCATTTTCTTCTATAATATTAGGGTGAGTCAGTTTTGAAGTTATATAGTTCAATTCTCTCATTTTATAGGAGAAGAGACCAAGAGGTCAACTTTAGTTGCTTCCTATGAAGAATCTATAGAACCACACTTCCTAACACTATGGAATGAGTTTTTAAAAATCTGCATAGAAAACCAGTGAGTTTTATAAAACCCTTGTGTTTTATTTTTACAAAGCAAGGAGTAGGTAAATGAGACCTGTAAAACAGAAATAGAAGAAAAACCTGGGGCTGAGCCCCAAATACAGGCTGTTGTGGTCCTGAGAGGGGAGGGAACTGCTGCCTCTAACTTAACTACTTGAACATGGAACCTTGGCAGGTTAAGCAGAACTACCATCCAGAGACCCAGACCTGGAGACCCCAGGCAGCTCCTGCCAGGCCACCTTCAAGGGCAAGTCTTCTGCCCCAGGAGGCTTTCCAGTGGTTCTGGGGAAAATGTGCTATTTAATAACACTGACAGCTAACAAAGCATCAGAGGGACTTCTGAGGGAAGGAACCTGAATATAGTGTGATGGTGATCTGTCTCCCCTGGGCAAATAAAACAGGTGAAGGTCTGACCATCCCTTAGTTATTCAGGGGCCAAGGAGATAGTGTGTGTTTTCTCTGGACCTCCAACTTTTTGCTGTTTGTTGTCAGGGGATCCTGTCAGTTATTACCTCCCTTGGGAAACCAGACTAGAGGAAATAAGGGGAAATCATGTGTCTCAGAAGGAGTAGGGGGAGGGACTGGGGAGGGAAGTGAGAGTGAGAGAGAAGGGGAGGAATTTGCAAATAACTATACATAGAACCACCCCACTCCAGTACTCTTGCCTGGAGGATCCCATGGTCGGAGGAGCCTGATGGGCTGCAGTCCATGGGGTGACTGGGAGTCGGACACGACTGAGCAACTTCACTTTCACTTTCACTTTCATGCATTGGAGAAGGAAATAGCGGCCCACTCCAGTGTTCTTGCCTGGAGAATCTCATGGACGGGGGAGCCTGGTAGGCTGCCGTCTATGGGGTCACACAGAGTCGAACACGACTGAAGCGACTTAGCAGCAGCAGCAGCATACACAGAACAGAATTTTAAAATATGTTATACATTAAACTAGGGCTTTACAGCTTAACAAATTGCCTTTATGTACTTTATCTCAATTACTCTTCAAGCAACCTGATAACATCGACTGAGGCTACCTATTTACTTACTTCTGAATAGTGCTCATAGTGAAAGTCGCTCATTCGTGCCTGACTCTTTGCAACCCACAGACTATATAGTCCATGGAATTCTCCAGGCCAGAATACTGGAGTGGGTAGCCTTTCCCTTCTCCGGGAGATCTTCCCAACTCAGGGATTGAACCCATTGCATTGCAGGCAGATTCTTTACCAGCTGAGCCACCTTCTCCAGAGGATCTTCCTGACCCAGGAATTGAACTGGGGTCTCCTGCATTGCAGTCAGATTCTTTACCAGCTGAGCTATCAGGGAATCCCATTTACTTGTAGGTATTAATTATCTATGAGACTATTAGCCCTGTTCTGCAGTTAGGGAACTGCTCTTAAAGATAATTATGTGGCAGGACAAGATTCACATCTTAGAATCATTGAATCATAGCATCACAGAGTTAGAAGGCACCTTAATAGCAATAACATAAGGCATCCTTCTCTTGGAGCATGGATCACCTTAAAAAAATCTCTAAGAAGATTTCTTCTAATCATTATTTGAATTCTTCCAGTGACGAGTAACTTACTACTCCTTGAGGCAATCCATTCCCCTTGTAGCTTTCAGCCTTTAATTCATCTTTGACCTCAAGAACTTCACCAAATTAAGGTGAATATATCTTTTTAAAATTTGAAGATATTACTCTTGTCACTCTCTTGCAGATTAAGCATCTTCCAGTCTTTCAGTTGTTACTCATGATTACTTATAATATGATTACCTGGCACAGTGCCTGAAATACATAGTGGATACACAGTGAATGTTTGTCGAATTGGTTCTCTGGCCTTTGGTAATATGTTCTGGTCCTGGCCTCTTTCCTTGACCACAATTAGCCTCCATGCTATAATGTGTTTCTCATTTCTTTGTTTATTTAAATAATAAAAAGGAAGCAATATATAGTCTCTACTTTCAAGCTATAGAGTCTTCAGAACAATTTGAAAACATAAGCTAACCTGGCCAAATTTTAAACAGCTTTCAGTTAACTTGTGATAATAGACTCAGTAGCTTGACTTAACTGACCACTTCAGAGATGTGATTTAGCATCTCCTGTAAGATATCAAATGAAACATTGTGGAGTGTGTTCATAGAATTAACTGGAAAGATTCTAGTGAAGGCGGGGTTAATGTGAGGTCTAATTGTGAGACCCTGCATGAATACATTATCATACAGTACTGCTTTGCATTTTAATAAAGTAACAACCAGTTTTGGCTCAGTTCTGGGTACTACCAGGCTGAAAACTGTGCTCTTCAAAAAAAAAACACAAAGCAATGCTCCAGTAGAAACACCATTTTTAGTTGGTTTTAAACTGTCTTGGTGTGAGGCACAAGCACTGGTGCCAGTGTGATGAAGCTATGTCATTCCCAACAATGCAGAATCCAGGCAGCTTCATAACTCTTTTAAGTTCTGGACCAGGATGAATAGCAATGAGCTTACAGGTTTGGTTGCTGAAGAGCCAGGGACTGGATGGTGAATTGTGCCCTGCTCTGGAAAGGAAACAAGTTAAATTGCTCCCAGTCTCGAGGCACTATGCTTATTCATTACAGTAATAACCATAAAAAGAGTTTGATGACAAATAAGTCAAACCAAATGTCCCAAAATACACTTTCGGAAAAATGTCTCTGGGCTAAATTATCCCATTATCACAGACTAAAGCTGTCTGAAATTTGGTCAATTTGATCACATTTTCAAGTTGTTCTAAAAACTCTGTGGAAGCTCAGTTCAGTTCAGTTGCTCAGTCATGTCTGACTCTTTGTGACCCCATGAACCACAGCATGCCAGGCCTCCCTGTCCATCACCAACTCCTGGAGTCTACCCAAACTCATGTCCATAGAGTTGGTGATGCCATCCAGCCATCTCATCTTCTTAGTCATCCCCTTCTCCTCTTGCCCCAATCCCTCCTAGCATCAGGGTCTTTTCCAATGAGTCAACTGTTTGCATGAGGTGGCCAAAGTATTGGAGTTTCAGTTTCAGCATCAGTCCTTCCAATGAACATGCAGGACTGATCTCATTTAGGATGGACTGGTTGGATCTCCTTGCAGTCCAAGGGACTCTCAAGAGTCTTCTCCAACACCACAGTTCAAAAGCATCAATTCTTGGGCATTCAGTTAACACAGAGTTTTTTCCTTTCTATTATTTAACCAAAGACGATTCTAATACCTTCTCTCTTTATACTGCAAATACTAGTAAGTATAAAGAAAGTGAGTTATATTAGCAGTTTTCTCATTGTGAACCTCAGAAAAGGCTGAATTTGGGAAGAAGCCTTTTTTTCAATAGTATTAAGGGAGGAGGACCTGAGAGACAGGGGTGGGACCACCTTGCATGTGAACATCTCACCTACCATGCCTTTCACGTGGTAGGTGAGGTTCTTCACAGGTACAGAATGGAGAGAACTCCTAGTCAAGCAGGACCCTGCCCCCAGCAAAGAGGAGGACAGCCAAGTCACAAGAGAAATCATAGTGAAATACGGCAGCGAGTTCTTGCTGGAAGACACACTGATGTCTGGGGGCTTGTGTCCATTATAACGTTGCCTGACTGCTTCTTTTTCCTCCTCTGAACAGCTCATCATTTTCCTTCTCACATAAACCCAGGAGGGCCTTGGAGGGGCCAGCTGGGTCAACATATTCATGTGAAGAAAGTAAGGTTCAGTGAGATTGTGTGCTTTGCAAAGAGTAGTAGAGCCAGACATAGCAACCAGGACTTTGGGCTCCCGGTGCAGGTCGCTTGTCTAAAACACTGCCTGCCTGTTAACGTTTGGGAAAACTCATGTGTGAAATGTGTAGCCCTCAAAGAAGAGAATTTTCACATCTTCACTTGAATGGTTTTCTTTATAGGTACTGATCTTGGAAGAGTCAGGATTAAAAATTAAGTTGGGCATATAGGGCAGTTTAGGAAGAAGAGATAGAGCAAGACAGGAAGTGGAGGAAACAGGAAGAAGGCAACAGAGAGGTAAATACATAAATAGTCAAATGGGGTCAACGTGGAGGAAAAATATAGAGAGGGGAAATTAACGGAGAAGAAGAAGAAATGGGCCTTTTTCTTCTTAAAAGCAGCACACTGAGGAAACCAAGGACTGAGCAGAAGTCAGGAGGGGAGAAAGAGGAGAACAAATAGAGCCAGGAAAAGAGAAGCAGGCAGAAGAGAACACAGGGAGCTCTATGAGTTCAGAGTGTGTGCAGGCGGGCAGGCATGTGGACAAAGGGGCCCCGAGGACAGAATGCATGCACACTGGTGGGGGTAGGCCAGAAGGGAGGTGACTGTCAGCACAGTGGGGGAGGGACAGCGGGAGAGGACAACACACGTGGAGGCGGTCAAGAAAGGGATCTGCGAGACGCTATCAATTTCATATCCGTGAAACCAAATAGCTAATCTTTTATTACTCACCTCTCTTGCCTCTTTCATCATTTACATGATTTGCTTTTCAAACTGTACAAACATACACTCACTCAACCTCAAAGTACCCTAGATGCCTTCCTACCTGAAATGGTTTCTTGGGAAAACAGTGTTTCCTAAACAATGATTAATCTCTTAACCACCCCTCCCCGACCTGGAAATATCTTCCAAATTGAGAACAGTGGTATTTTCCTCAGGAAAAGCCAGGCCTGCACCATGGTTGGGTGGAGTCCTAGAGGAAAATGTCACAGCATTGTGAGAGCAGTCAGGGGGAACACGAAACCCATTTCCCAGAACTGCTCAGCACAGCCTTTTATGTACACTCTCCTGAGCTGTACACACACTCTCCTACGTGTTAGGCCCGCCAGATTCACGCCCACTCTACCTCTCACAGTTATGATTTTCTAGGAGAGTCATCCTATCATAGTAACATTCACTCAGCAGTGTCCAGTCCTGTGCCTGAGCAACACACTCTCCACTGGGTCAGAGGACAGCAAGGTGGACACATTTTCCTCCCAGTGTCATTAGCCTCCAATCACAAGCCTCCACTCACAAGCCTCTGTTAAAATCACAGGCGATTTTAACAGAAATGCCTGTCCAATCCAGGCTAAATAATGACTGCTCTCTGGAGCTGAGTATGTGCCAAGAAAAATCATGAGGAATTTGAGCCATGCCAGCTTTTTAAAGTATTCTTCAAAATGCACGCCATAATAAAATACCCTTTAGCCTTAAATGTGACCTTGGTTATTAGCACAACTTTGAAAAAAAATAATTAGCAACCTATCTGCTTGATCAAATGTCAACCAGCCAGACCGCTTTTGAAAGCAATCCCAATAAGGGATGAGTTTAAAAAAAAAAAAAAACAAACCCTCATGCCTTTCTTGCACCAGGAGTGAGTTGCTATCTGCAAGGTTGGGTTAATGCCACTTTCTGGGAGTCCTCTGAGAGGACAGGCTCCATGAAATTATTTTTTGCCCTTATAAACCAAGTTAAGGCCAGCTATTGGCAAGACTGCAGCAACTGCCTTCTGAGTACTTACACAGGATCCTGAGCGGGGTGGCTGTGCCCATGTTAGTTCTCCCCTCACCTCATGTACTCCCCATCACTCTTATAATCCATGAAGGATTCTGATCCCGACACCTCCTCAAAATCCTCCAGAACCAGACTGGTGGAGTCCTCACCCAGGACGCCGCTGTCGGGCCTGGACATTCTGACCCAGGGAGGAGGTGCAGGAGAGTTGGTGACCAGTGGAGGTGGGGAGCTAGGGGGTGTTTGCTGGACAGACGTGTGCAGGGCCTGAGGAGGGGATGCGGCTGGCCCACAGACTTCCTCGTCATCCTTCTCAGACTCTGGTCCTGCATCTGGGGCAGCAGGACCCAGGACGTGGTAGAGGCTGGGGAGACGGATGTCAAAGCGTAGCCCGAACTTAGCAAAGAGCTTGTCATTGAGAGCGTAGAGCTTCTCTGAGATGTCATAGCCCAGCAGGACCGAGAAGAGGCGAGAGATGTATCGTTCTTTGGTCAAAAGGAGGTGGAGCTTTTTCCGGGGCCAGGAAATGTAGCTACATTCAGTCTCAGCTGTCAGAGTGACCTGAGAGGGGTCAGGGGCAGAAAGTGAAGGTTGAAACTTAAAAATGTGTCCAAGCTTAGTACAGAGATATATACAGTTTACTTGGCAAACGGCTGCACTTTGCACTTCTCCTGAAGAAGCTGTGGAAGTACCTCTCCAGGGCCTTGCCTTGCAGAGGTCCAATGAATGACTTCCATCGTGTGCACTGACATGGTAGGAGGGGTGGAATAGGAGGGTGGTCTTGTGAAGAGCCCTGAGATCACCTTCTGGAACCTCACTGTCCACCTCCAGTCTCCTCAGCTCTCATACACTGTGTTCCATGGCTGATCCCACTAATGGCTGCAGAAGGTTCTGAGCCTGTTGTGATTACAGGAGAGAAAAGGGGCCTCCTGGTGCTCAGAAGAAACATCAGGATGCTGATGACAGTTTTTAAGGATAAAAGATAATATATTGGAGTTGGGACACGAAGAAGAATTGGGAAGAATTTCAGTGAGAAGAGAGCCACTGATCAGGCATGCCAGGCTGCATCAAGTGGACAGAATGCTGGCCTGGTCTTCAGGCCTATGAGCTGCTCTTGACTTGGGCCCTACAAGTAACCAAATGGATCTGATGACTAAATTCAGAAAAGGGGCACAGAGGAAAAGGAACTCTTTTTTTGGGAGGTAAGGTGCCTTGCAGCTTACAGGATCTTAGTTTCCTAACCAAAGATAGAACCCGTGCCCTCTGCATCAAGAGCACAGAGTCTTAACCCCTGGACCACCAGGGAAGTCTCAAGAGGCACTCTTAAGAACATGAAGTGGAAGGATACCTCACTCTTCATTTATATAGACATCTAGTCATTTCTGTGTACTTGGCTATGTGCCCGTGGTGCACAGCTAAGTCACACTTGCAGGGTCAGTAATGTGTGCACAGCACAGAGCAGGTGCTTGATAAATCTTGTTAATAAACAATGAGTGGTAAAGATAGGTTTCAAATGCAAACATTCTTAGGATAGTAAAGGAAAAGTGCGTAGAACCACACAATTCTTTATACCCTGTCCTAAGTACTTTAAAAGTGAACAGGTTGGCAGAGCTTAAGATGAAGATTCATGAATGGAGACAGTGGAAATGAGAAGGAGGACAACAGCTAACATTTACTGAGAGTGACCATGTACCAGTCATCGTGTTAAGTGCTTTATGTGGGTTGTCTCATTAAAGGTGGTGTTGGCTTTCCAAACATTCTTTATCAGAGATCATATATATAATCCTTTTATTTCATTGCCCCCAGAACACCGCCTCTGCTCCCCTCCTCCCCTTCCCATCTGCAGTACCCCTCTTCTGTTCCCTTCATTCATTTCCTCCTCGCCCTCCCCCACCCCTCAGTCATCAGCGCTCAAGTCAGGGCCTAAATTGCCTCATCAAGACCAGAAACGAGTTTCAAGTTCCAGCTTTACCAGCTGTGTGACGTCAGATAAATTGCTTAATCTCTCCAGACTTGTTGCCTCATAAGAATACTGGTCCTCACAATCCATCTGTTACTAATTTGACTCAGCAAGTAGTTGTTGCATCTACCATAACCTGTACTTTCAGTGTACTTACTAACAATTCCCAAACAAGAAATCAGGGTGCTGCACATGAAGTGGGTACACATGAGAGCTAATAAGGATGCAAGCAGTGTCCTCAAAGCTGAACACAAAAGACTGTGGGCATTCTTGCAAATACACTGCTACTTCTTCCATCTTAAATCAAAATTTTAAAATCAAAATCTTTTTTTCTTCACTTTAGTTCCTTGGTTAGCTATCACTCCATTGATTTGCTCTCCTTTTCAGCAAAACTCCATGAAAAAGTTGTCTATACTTGGCTGTTACCAATTCTTCTCCTCGTATTCTCTCTCTTCAGTCAGCAAGGCTTTGCCCCAGTGGTCTACAGACTGTTCCTGGCAAAGTCACCTATGACTTCCACATTGCTGAGTCTGATGATCAGTTTTCATGGCATTCAGTCCCTCCTCTTTGATATTCTTTACTTGCTCCCAGGATGCCACACTCTCCTGGTATAACCTCCAGATTAGTCCCTTTCAGCTTCTTTTGCTGCTTTTTACCCCCTTCAACTTCTAGAGTACCCCAGGGTTAATGGATTCTTGAATCCCTTTTCTGTCTATGCTCACTCACTGGTGATCTTGTCCAATGTAACAACTTTAAATTTCATCTGTAGGCTAATGACTCCCTAACTTAGTCTCAAGCTCAGACCTTGTTCCTTAACTCGACTCAAGTATGCAACTGCCTACGCAGTGTCTGTATTTAAATGTCCATAGATGACGTAAATCTAATACCTCCCAAACTGGACTTCTCTCTCTTCTCCCAAAGCCAATACTATCTGCAGCCTTCCTTACCACATCTGATAGCAACTCCATTCTTCCAGTTTCTCAGGTCAGAAGTCTTAGAAGTTTTCTTGATCCTCTTTCTCTCACATACTACATCCAATGTGTTAGGAAATCCTTTTGGCTGTATTTAGCAAATATACACTCTGGCCCTAGATGACATGTCTCCTTATTACCTCTCTGACTTCCTCTTCTGCTCTTCATTCCCCTCCCTCTCCCTGTTCCAGACTCATTGACCTTCTTTCTGGACCTCAAACATGCTAGTCTCTCTCACACCCAGCTTTTGCACTGGCTCTCCCCTCTGTCTAATATGCCATTCCCCCAGGTATTCTCAGAGCTCACACTGCCAATCACCTCAGATCTTTGCTCAAATGTCACCAGTTCAACAAAGACTTCCATGAAATCCTCAATTACAATTGCAACTACAGTTGGCCCTTGAGCAACAGAGGTTTGAACTGTGTGGATCCATTTAAATGGGGATTTTTTTTTTTTCAATAGTAAATACCTGAAGTACTATACAATTGGCCGATTGGTTAAGTCTGAGGATGTGGAAGCCTAGATCTGGGGGAACTGTATATTTGGAGGTTGGACTATAAATTATGGGCTTCCCTAGTAGCTCAGCTGGTAAAGAATCCACCTGCAATGCAGGAGACCCCAGTTCAATTCCTGGAGAAGGGAAAGGCTACCCACTCCAGTATTCTGGCCTGGAGAATTCCATGGACTGTATAGTCCATGTGGTCTCAAAGAGTCAGACACTACTGAGTGACTTTCACTATAAATTATACATGGATTTTCTACTATAAGGTTGGTACCCTACCTCCTGTGTTGTTGAGGAGTCAATTGTATCTCTCCCTTATACTATTTTTTTTTACTATAATTTATTATTTTTAACATATTACATAATTTACTTTTTCATAATTTCTATGGCTAATTTTTTGTCTCACCTACTAGAATGTGAATTGCATGAAGGCAGGGACCTTCATCTGTTCTGTTGACTGATACACTCTGAGCACCTTTAATAGTGCCCAGGTGGGAATTCCCTAGCAATCCAGAGGTTAAGACTCCATACTTCACTGCAGGGGGCATGGGTTCATGAATCATGGGTTCAGTCCCTGGTCAGGGAACACATCCCTTGTGATGTGGCCAAAAATAAAACCAAACAAAAACAAACCATATAGTGCCCAGGTTACTGTAACAGCTCAATAAATGTTACTGAAATGAGTGAATGAATCAGGTAAAAACTACTAATCTTTTATGTTGCAAAATAACTTGATGTTGTTTTCTCATGCCCAGTATAAAATCCTTCCTAAATATCTTTAGAAACCAATGGATTGACTGGTTTGACCAGGTTTTTCTTTAACCATCACCTTCGAAGCTAGTTGAATGGATTAAATGATATGATGTACATAAAGAGACCTTGAGTCCAGTAAAACATGATTCTAATTAGAGAAATAATGCTGATTTCCATGTGATGGTCCCCATGCTATGTTCTTGGTGACTTATGAGAGGGTCGCAGTGTTTAACAGTCAATAAATTCTTCACTGAATTCTTGAGAGGTGTGATGGAATGTTGATTCTCTTGTGGCAAACTCAATAAGAATTATGATTCAGTCACTGTGGATTCCCTATTAGTCAACAAAGACTATGCAAATGCAAAGGCAAGGACAAGATGAACTACAACCCGAGACAACACTTGACATTTGCAAAGAGGAAATGGGACTTCACAGAGCCAAGAGCAAGTGTGTGGATCTCAAGGCTCCCAGTGGAGGTGCATACTAAAAATACAAATGGAAGAAATGTGACGGTCCCTACATCCCTCTCAGATGCTGAGAGGCCATCCGGGGTCATAGCCCTTCCTTTCAAGCATAACTAAGGGGAGGACACCCGGCTTATCCACCACCTGTTTCTCAGTTTCAGTGTCAGAAACAGAGCCTGATCTGGCTGGCTCAGGACCTGACTCAGCCCTCCTGAAGGTTCTTGTGGCTCTGAGGGAGTTCTCAAAGGTGACTGCTGAGCCGCTTGGAGAGGATGTGAGTGTGTGGTGGGGGAGGCACATGTTCAGAGTGGGGTCTGTGACTGATGGTCCAGGCAGTGGGATTAGGACTGGCCCTCAGGCTCTGTCCTCACAGAGCCAAGAGTCAGGGTGGGGCGGAAGCAGGCCCAGCCGGGTGGCCCCGCCTGGCATGTGTCTATTTCGGGGCTGGCATAAACGCTCGCCTGAAGAACTTCCTGACAGAACTGACAGGGGACAGAGGGAACCCAGTACTGGCGAACTGTCTGGACAGGGGAGTCCCTAAAATGGTGTGTGTGTGTAAACTCCACTCTCCTGGTAACCCCCCATTTTAAAAAAGAATAGAATAGTGGTGTCAGGCAACTTGGTTTTGCCACTTTCTAGATGAAGAGCTTGGGCAAATTACTTGAGGTTTCTGAGCCTTAGTTTCCTCATCTGTTAAACAGGTTAATAACAATATAATATAATAATTGTTTATAATAATTATTTTATTATAAACAGGTTAATAACAATCCAGAGGACTGTGGTGAGAGTCAATAAGGCAATAAAATAGGTAGTGCCTGTCACATGCTAGCCATACAGTAAGTGAGAACTACAAAGAAGGTAACTGAAATCTGAAGGATTGACGGAGCAGAGAGGAGGGCCCGAGCAGACAGGCCCTGACCTTAGACTGTGTATGTGATGCCCTCTGGAGCATTCTGAGACACCAATAGCCTACTGCCAAGGCAGCTCAGTGAAACTTTACTGAACACCTACTACTGTGTACAAAGTATTGCCCTTTGGAGCCTGGAGATGGAGAGGAAAAGTCCAGATTTCTACGTCAAGGAATTTATTATGCAAAAGACAGAAAACCAAATTGTACATGTGTGCAGTCAGCATAGTAAAAGCAATAGAAGAGGCATGCAGGCAATGTGTGGGGGTGGAAGCTGGTGAGGTCAGTCTGGGCAGGCTTCAGAGGAAGTGAGATGCCATAGCCTCCTCTTGATGAGGGAAGTGCCTTTTGGATAGAGGCGACATTAGGGGCCAATGCACGGCCGTGTAAAACAATGTGGTATGTTTAGGGAAGTACTAGTAATTCAGTATGGCTGGTGTGAGCAGGAAGTGTAGGAAAGGGCTGGAGATGTGGCTCCAGGATGTCACTAAAGGTCTTAAGTTACTCTCTAAGGAGTGAGGGCTTTTATCCTGTGGTCACTGGGGTCTTCTGGAAGAGTTTTAGGCGTAGGAGTGACATGGCCCCCCTTCCAGGGATGAGCACCTCCCTACCCTACCCCTCCTCTGCCAGGCACTTTTTCCACTGGAGGAGAGTGCTCCCACCTCAACCGTCATATTGGCAGTAGTTCAAAGGTCTGACAAAAGAGAGGAAAGATGGAAGCACGGATATTGCTGGGTTGCAGTGGGATGGGCTGTGGCAGTGCTGCCATGGGGCTCCCTATTACCTGGAACACCCCCTCCTCAGAGGGACGCAGCGATTCCCACTCGGGTGAGTCCATGAACTGGTAAGGAAAGATGTAGTGCAGAAACTGCCCGTCCTGGCTCACACGAACCCTGGCAAAGGGAGAGAAGAAACTGTGTGGGAAAAGAGAAGTGGTTACCCAAAGCTTCTCCAGAGTTTAAATTACATGTTAAAAGAATGGAAAATGACTAGGATCCTGAATGGGCTTTTTCCTCTTTTACCTAGAAAACTCAGAGTCTCAGTTTCAACCCCTCTTCTAAAATCAGTTGTACTGGGAAAGAAAGTGTTTATTGAACAAAGGGGGCAGATCAAAAAGCTCTCTAAGGTACATCCTGTCCAACTGGGAGGAGCTATTGTTCCACTTTTTCTGGAGCTTAATTGTTAAAAAAAAATATGTATGGAGAACCTTCTGTGTTCCTGGAAGTCTGGGAATCTGGAGATGATCTGGTCCTTTTGTTTTTTTTTCCTTTTTTACTCTTCAGCTGCACTGCGTGGCAACTGCTGGACCACCAGGAAAGACCCAATAATCTGATTCTTACCTTTCAGGATTTCACGATTTAGTGGAAGTCACAGGCACATAAATAACTAGCTATAAGTCAACATGTGCTATTGTGAGACAGGAGACTAGAGGAGGGAGAGACCTTAGTTCTCTCCAAGTGGCAGACTTCTCAAAGATAACATTTGAGCTGATTTCTGAAGGATGTATATGATATTGAGAAGCAGATCGGAATGCAGATGAGGATCTGAGAAATCCAGTGTCCACACTGTTTTCCAATATCAGCTTTTCCCCTTCCTCTTATAGTACAGGAACTTTTTTAGCAGGGCTCATGACTGCCCAGCCAGAGTATGTTTCTCTACTTCCCTTGCAGCTGAGTAGAGCCATGTGATTAGGTTCTAGCCAAGGGGATATTAGCACTCCATATCTTGCTCCCAGTGAATGCCTAGATATATATGAATATGTGCAAATTACCAAAGACCACTATCAATTAAAAAACTTTATGTATTACCTGAGAACTTAAAGATGGAAAACAGAAAGGGATGTAGGTCTTAAACCAAGCCAAGAATGTGGTGTCAGCCTACACTCTCTGATGGCAGAAACATACGTGCTTCTACAAGACCTATCAATATGTGTAGATAGCCATCAGAACTTACCTGAGTAATGAAAGGATGCAAGAGAAAATGAAGTGCCATGTGCTCCTACCTCATGGTCTTCACATATTCTGTCCCCTCCAGCTGCCTCACTTCCCAATCTGCACCTTCTCCTCAGGCCTCAGTTTACACATTCCTTCCTCTAGGAAGTCTCATCTGGCCCCCCCGAAAATTTAGGTCCACTGCTTATATGCTCTCATTGCACTGTGCCTTGCTCCTTGGAATTAGTGGCTAGAGCCATGAATTAGTGACTCTCTTGATAGACTGTAAATTCCATGAGTACAAGGAAAATATTTTTCATTTTTTAACAAGAGATACCTAGTCTCTAGCTTACTCAATAAATATTTTTGGAAATGGGGAGGGAGGGAGGAAGGGAGAAAGGAAAGGAAGAGGGATGGAAAGATCAAACAAATGAACTCACTGTGTCACCATAAAGGGGGCCAAAACCTCAAGGAAAAGCTTCTCGAACAAAGGAAGAAAGACAACAGGAGAGAATGAAGTTGCTGCGATACACATCAGATCCTCCCGTCCTTCATCCTCTTCCCATGCAAGGAATCTGGCCACCCAAGCAAGCCACTGAGGAGGGACAAGACTTTGCAGTGTGAGTAACATCTAATGAGGGGCTTTCCAGGTGGCTCAGTGGTAAAGAATCCACCTGCCAATGCAGGTGATGTGGGTTCAGTCCCTGGGTATTTTGTTTTGTTTTCCTTTGATTTTGCAGTTTCAATCCCTAGTTTGGGAAGATCTCCTGGAGAAGAAAATGGCAACCCACTCCAGTATTCTTGCCTGTGAAATCCCATGGACAGAGGAATCTACAATCCATGGAGGCTCCAGAGCAGGCTACAATCCATGGTGTTGCAAAGGAGTTGGACATGACTTAGTGGCTAAAACAACAACATCCAATGAGCCTGCATGGCTCCCTGAAGCCATTCACATTGTATACTATATCCTTTATCATTTGAGTCTCTTCTTCCTCTTTGATCTCCTGACAACAGGTTATTTCCTCCTCTGTGAACAGCTTGGAGACCTGGCTGCCTCTTCAGGAGGCTGTGCACATGGGAGTTCATACTTGGGGTTGTATATGAGAGAAACTTTCCAACAGTAAGCACAGCTTAATAGGGTGATGGACTTTGAAGAAGTCACTTTGCCTTTCTGAGTCTTGAAAGGGACTGATTGCATTATGAAAATAAAACAAAAAGGATGTCTGAGGTTTTAGCAAAGGGCTCCAGATGAGGTATGCAGGTGAGCTGGGGAGGTCTCCATCAGAAGCCCCCACTTCTCAGCATGTAGTTCTATTCTGCTGCTTCAAGGTGTTTGGTACCTCACCAGCCAAAGATAATGATGATTCTCCTTTAAAGTCAGTGGCTGGTTATAGACTAGAAGTCCTTTCCTCAGCTCCAACTTAGCAAAGTTGAGACAGGATGATGTTGAAAGATATCAAAACAAAATTCTTACTTCAAATCTTGAAAAGCAAGAAAAATATTGAAATTTCTAACTTTTAATTTGAGTTTTTGATGTTAAGTATACTAGGAAATGGAGAAGGAAATGGCAACCCACTCCAGTACTCTTGCCTGGAAAATTCCATGGATGGAGGAGCCTGGTAGGCTATGTCCATGGGGTCGCAAAGAGTTGGACACGATTGAGCAACTTCACTTTCTTCCCTTCTATAGTTCCTTTTGGAGAAGGAGATGGCAACCCACTCCAGTGTTCTTGCCTGGAGAATCCCATGGATAGAGGGGCCTGGTGGGCTACAGTCTATGGGGTTGCAAAGAGTCGAACACAACTAAGCAACTAACACACACACACACACACACACACAAATACTAGGAAAAGGGCTTCACGGGTTGCTTAGCTGGTAAAGAATTCACCTGCAATGTAGGAGACCTAGGTCTGATCCCTGATTGGGAATATTCCCTGAAGGAGGGCATGCAACCCACTCCAATATTCTTGCCTGGAGAATCCCCATGGATAGAGGAGCCTGGCAAGCTACAGTCCAGGGGGTCACAAAGAGTTGGACACAACTGAGTGACTAGCACAGCGCATACTAAGAAAAACCACACTGAGGGGCCAGGCCCCTCTCTCCTCTTCACAGGAACCCGGTCTTCTACAAGGTCATGATAAATCTATCATATAAAAGATACCTGAACCATATAATAATTATTATGCCCTTCCATAAATGAGCACCATACAGTGCAGTGGGTGTTTCTCCTACCTGGCTTAATCCGCTCCTTTGAACAGAGATGCTAGGAGATGCAAACAATATCATGGGTCTCATGAAAGAGCATGTGTCCTAAACTGTCCTTATTTTAAGCATGGAATTGTAGGTGGCAAACATTTTGGCAATAGTCATAATATATTTGTATCTACATGTGTATTTGTTTACAAATAATTTCATTTATTTATACTTCAACCATAAATGAAATGAAACATCACAAAACCTCATAGCTCATTCAACCCAGGACCTCAGTGTCCAAACAAAATTAAAACATGTATACATTATACTTTGATTCTATACATTAATACATAAATGCATGGTATCAACATTACTAGTAGTAGTAGTTGTGGTAGTACCATCATCATCAATGTCAAAGTCTTTTTCCCCACTGGCAATCTTATCTAGTTTCTTTCTTTCTTTTTTTCTTTCCCCCTTTTCTTTCTTTCCTTTTCTTTCCTTTGAATCACTGCATTCTTCTGGTCTCAAAAAAGAGGAAATTAAGGACAAAGTTTTTAAATACTCGTTTTCCACAGAGGCAGTCCAAGTATATACCAGGTTAAAATGCTTACTGTCAGATGCTCAGCTGCACATACAAGTCCCACTAGGGCAATATTTCAAAGAATTCACAATTTCCTACTAAATGTACAGCACAAAGCTACATAGTATTTGTTCAGAAGAGATCAGTCAATGGCCAACATTCACATGCAGGCTAATCCTGACAAAGCCCATTTTGCTGAGGTCTGACTGTCAGCCTCCTTACAACGTGTCAGCCAGGTGTCTCCACCATATTCTCAAAGAGACACACATGGGCATCACTGCTCTCCCCTCACTCTCTGGCCCTCAGATTTATAGCACTTTACTTCTGGGTCTGTAGGAATCTCAATAAAACAATTTGGAATGGAAATGTGGACAAGGGTAACCTGCTCCATTGTTGTTGCTGTTGTCACTAAGGTGTGTCTGACTCTTTTACAACTGCATGAACTGTAGCCTGCCAGGCTCTTCTGTCCATGGAATTCCCCAGGCAATAACACTGGAGTGGGTAACCATTTCCTTCTCCAGGGGATCTTCCTGACCCAAGGATCAGATCTACATCTACTTCACTGGCAGGCAGGTTCGTTACCACTGAGCCATCAGGGAAGCCCATTCCTGCTCCATACCTGGGTATATGCAGAATGCTTTACCACAGAATCTGTATAGATATCCCCCGATATCTCTGACGTCCTGGAGGGAGCAGGGGTTACTAAAAATCTCCTATTTTGGCACTGTTCCTTACACATAGTTGGCACTTAGCAAAGGTTGAATGCATATGGAAGAAACTAATTAATCTTATTGAAATGTTCAGTTTTCCAAAGCTTACAGGGATATTGCTGCAGTTTAGGCATGACATGCTGGCATGGTGTAGCCATTTTAGAGCCAGGGTCAAGAAACACTCACCCCACACCTCCCAGCAGCAAGTATATTCACAATTTTTCCTGCCAACCATGAGCTAGTTTCCTCATGAAAAATATTTTAAAAAAGGGGAAGCAAGTACATGCTTAGAAAAATCTATTTTGGTTTGTTTGACTCGCCACATCCTTCCTCAATGGAAGAGATACGAAATGGAAAGGGAGACACTGGGAAACGAGAAGTGTGGGCGTGGGGAAGAAATGCTGGGTACTGACAGAGTGGCTTACCGGCCAGAGAGCAGCAGGGACAGGCGGTCAATGGGCGTCTCGCCCTCCACGGCATAGGTCTGCTCCGTGGCCAGAGTCAAGACCTGCTCCTCGCAGCAGTGCACGATCTCCTTGTACGCTGGCAGGGGCACCTGCAGGGGCAGGCACAGCGTCTTGTAGAGCAGCTCCAGCTCCTCGGGGAGGGTGTCCTCATGCAGGCGGTACACCAGGTGTGCCAGCTGGACCACGCAGGCCGTTGCCAGCAGGACGCTCCAGAGAACAATGTCCAGGCCGCAGGCGCCGAACCAGCCCCATAGCACACAGCACAGGTAGCCTGTGCCCAGGAAGCCAAACAGGTAGAAGCACCCGTACACCCCGCTGCCACCCATGAAGCCCAGGAGCAGGAAGCAGTTGGCCAGGTGGAAGACAGCCCCTTGCAGGTCCTGCCTCCAGGCAATGCACAGTGGCCCGTGCCAGAGGAGCTGACCCTCCGTGCTGCCGTTGCCGCTCATCTTTGGGTCTCAAAGCCTATCGGGCTCTAAGACTGTCCCCACATGGGAAATTCAGGGAATGGGTTAGCCTGTCCCCCCAACTGTCGTCTCACCTCTGGCTTCTCCCCGCCAACTCCACCTTTCTTGGGAGGAATGCTTCCAGAAGCTTTGGGAATGAATAGCAAAACATCATATACTTCATGGAGAACTGAAAACTTTTCTTTCTCTTTCCCTCAGTGAGGCTCTGGCCCTCCTGGCGGAGCTCTGGTGAGTGTGCTCAGCTCCAGGTTTCTTAGAACAGTCTTCACATTTGACTCTTGGCAGGAAACCTAACTCGTCCTGAGAAAAAGATAGGACTATGGGGCTGAGAGCTTCAGCAGTGAGGGAAAATAAAGCAGCCACATCCTGCTCTCTGTTGTTCCCAAACAGAATGAAGAGCGCCCAGCACGGGAGGCACATTTGTGCTCCATTTGGAATGCGTCTCTCTTGGCACCGGAAGAAAGGGTGACCCCAGACGGATACCATGTTTGGAATTGGAATCCAAGAGGTACTGGCAGTGAGAAGAAACAGGCCAGGCATACAGGCAGCCTGGCAGAGCACTTAACATACCTCCCCAGAGGACAAGATAAGGCCTGGGCAAGAGAGGCAAGCCAGGGGAGGGGGGCAAAGAGGGTGGACAAAGGGAAAGCGAGCACAGAATTTACTGTCACACCTCAGGTGGGACACTGTCCAGAGCCCCCTCTGGGGAGGGCTCGGGGCTCTCCTGAGGTAGGAGGACACCAAGGTTGGAAAGTAGGGGACTATTATCAGAAAAAATCCTAACAGTGAGAAGTGGAAAACCCCTCAAAGGCCTTTATGAAGTCATATTGGAAATATCAATAGGCATTTATTTGACATTCATTAAACAAAAATAGCTATATAAAGCAACTTTTGAATTCTGACTTTCTTCTGCATGTATCTGGATCTAGTAATAGTTTATACAATGGTGATACATTGCTCAGACCATCATCCCACCCACTCCAATACTGACAAATGATAATAACCATCACCTATTAAACACATACAAAGTGCCAGATCTAGATTGTTATTCTATACGCACATGATTTAGTCATCACACAATTGCATTCCAAATAAATATTGTCTTCCTCCTAGATCTGAAAGAAACTGAGGTTTAAAGAGGTAACAAATTCCCACAGGTAGTGACAGAGACAGGATTTGATCTCGTCTATCAGACTTACAGCTGTGTCCCAAGTAGTTTGCCCAGTAAGTAGAAATTCAAGACTAGATCCATGACTCCTAACTCTACTACACCCAGGAAGTCTGAGGATGTCCAGGAACTTCTGAATGACCCTGTGGTCTGCTTCGGGTCACCAACTTAAAATCTGGTAATATGCAAACACTAAAGTAAGAAATGTCCCTCTGGCCTCCAAATGACTCCTTGATTCTGTTTCCTTACTACCATTACTGCTATAGCCCCTGAGGTCTGCGGGCAAGGATGAGGGAAGAGGAGGGGCACCTGGTAACCTTCTAGAAGTATTCAAGCATTCCATCCATAGAGGCCTTTATTATACTGCTGGTAACTTAACTAAAATTAATGAGAAGTTGGGAATTGTCAGATATGCTGAGGAGTAGAAATTTTCAGCACAACGCATGTTGAGTGCCTGCTGTGAACCAAGCATTTAAGAGAATCAAAGTTTCCCAAGAGCTCTCTCTTATCAAGCAAGAGCTGCCTCAGAAAACAATGGCGATTCAGTGTGGGAAGTACAGTAATCAAGTTGAGTTTAGGAGCATTGGCAGCCTAAGAGGAAGATGGCATCAAGAAAGAAAGACACAAGGGCTAACAAGGAATCTGGGGGCCAGGACTGAGTTAGCCAGATAGACGGAGAAGAGGATTTCCACTGGTAAGAACAGCAGACTCACAGGCAGAGAGATGTGAAAACCTACAGCATGTCGAAAGCTGGTTTTATCTTATTTAATTACAATCGCCTGACAAACAAATTTGCATCTTATTCCCTTTTTTCTAAAGTTGAAGCGGGAAATCAGAAGTAAAGGAAAAAAAGAGAGTGCCTGGAGAAGGACTCCCCCTCCAATGCCCTGTCCCCCACCCCCCACCCCCAGCCTTTCCCACACAGTGATTTGGATCTGTGATATCATTTGAGTAGTGGAGTTGGGGATTTCCATATGCTGCTTTTCTGTCACCTGCCTGCCTCCAGGCCAAGCCACCCCCTTTGACAAGCAACAGTTGCTCATCCCTCCACCTTAGTCATGCACCCCCTGAGCTGTCAAAGTGGCTGTCTCTGCCAGCTGTGAGCAAGGAAATCAGAAGCAACCAAGGCTCTGCCCAAGATAGAATTTCAAAGCAGGTCATCTTTCTCAGCCAGCCTGACCAGTGGCTGGCCCTGACCCCTTAAAGAGACAGCAGACCCACTGACTTGCTCTCAGCCTACCTTCTTTGTCAATTCACAAATGTGTTTGTTCATCTGAGCAGAAGGTACTAACATATAGTAAGCAAGTATTATTTCCTCATGTCTCCCCATGATACTTTTTTTTTAATAGAAGAAATTAACTCATAAGGTTAAGGAATATTCCCAAGGTGATAGAGATATTATGTGAAAAGAGGCTAAAGCTTGGGTCGTTGTGACTCTAAATTGTATGTTCTCTGTGCTGTACCACCTTGCTAGCTACTTTTGGAAGTTTATTTATGTCCATGTGTAGGCTCATTTATTGTTACAGGGGTTTGAGTATGCCACCAGGGTGGCATAAACCCCACATGCCGCCTCCTGCAGTGATAGTGACAGTGATGTCTATGGGAAAGGACCTATGATGGGAATACAATGGAAAGCTGTACCTTGTTTATTTTTAAAACTAGGTTTGATAGAAGAGGAGAGAAAAAAGTGTGTGTCAAAATGGTATGTTCTTACATGGAAAGCCACAAATACACTGTAGAAAATATTTGGGGAGAATAAAAGGAAAGAAGTTCGCGTCAATTTTATTCAATAGGCATTTACTTAGAACAAAGTATGTGTGCCAGGCACTGGGGATAGAAGATGAGTAAGACAATGATCACCTTCAAGGAATTTTTGGTCTAGTGAGGGAGACTGACCCAGAAAAAAGTACAACCCCCAAAATACACTTATTGGGTATGTGGCCAATGAGACATAAGAGGACATGTGTTGCGGAGCTTCTGGGAAAAGTATACTTCTTTGTGGAGACAGTAAGGAGGCCGTCTACCTTTCATCCGGCTTGAGTAGTGTGATACATAAAGCTTGACGCAACCATAGCCATGAGATAGGATGGGGTTCAAGGAAGCACTCACTGATGGGTGGAGCAAAGAATTCAGGAAAAACATCACAGGGAAGGTGACATTTAAGCTGGTCTAAAAAAAAGCTCAATAGGTGTTCCCCCAGCTAGGGAAGAGCCTGCCAGGAAGGGAGAACAGAATGTGAAGTCAAATCCAGAAGTAAAATGAAAATACATGGCGTATTCTGGTAATGGAGAACAGTTTGTTACAGGTGAATCAAAGGGAGCACAGGACATGAGGCAGGAGAAGCAAGCTGGGGCCAGATGATCAAGTGAGCCAGCTGGACCACCTCTCCAAGAGTGGTCGTAGACCATGGCTGGTCTGAGAGCTACTGCTGTTCCATGATGAGACATGGTCAGAAAGTGAGAGAACTTAGACATTTTTATACAGTTTGACAGGAAACTTATTAGCCTATGAATTGGAAAAAATTGAAGTAGTCCTTCACCTCACATAGTTTGAGAAACACTGGGTTAGAGATGAATGCTTTGCTAATATAGTTATTAAAATAGAACACAGGCATGATTTTAGGCATTGGACACATACTGCTGAGTTACACTACTGCTTTCTTATCCCATTTCCCCTTTCCCCCCAATCTGTGGAACTCTGATTTTCTTGGACAATATATGAAGAAGGGTGGGCTTCTCTCTGGGTGGCCAGGGCCTGAAGTAAGACTGGTCAAAGCCAAGCACACTATCCATTCCTCTCTACTGCAACTGGTTTCAGAGCGGGCACGTGACCAGTGAGACACGAGGGTGTGTACATGGGAGCATTCGAGAAAAAGTATTTTCCCTGATAGAGCCAGTAAGGACACCTGCTACCTTTAATTCTGGCTTGAATACAGCTGTATGATGGTGTAATGCTTGAAGCTACTATAGCCATGAGATAGGATAGGCCTAAGGATAAGAAGGTTAGAGAGGAGAAAAATAGAACAAGCCTTGGTTCTTCAAAGTATCACTGAGCATTGTATCAAATCTGAAACTTTCAACCACCAGACTTTATGACAGGAAATAAATTACATTTATTACTTAAGCTATTCTAGTTGGGTATTCTAGTAATTGCAGTTGAATACATTCAGATGCAGATCTCCCTAAAGATCTCCATGGGCTTTCCAGGTGGCACTAGTGGTAAAGAACCCGTCTGCCAATGCGGGAGACAAGAGACTCGGGTTCAAACTCTGGGTCAGGAAGATTCCTGGGAGGAGGGCATGGCAACCCACTCCAGTAGTCTTGCCTGGAGAATCCCATGGAGAGGGGCCTGGTGGGCTACAGTCCATAGGGTTGCAAAGAGTTGGACACGACTGAAGTGACTTAGCATGCACACACACAAGGATCTCCATAAGGACTGATTTTCAGCCAGTAGTTGTTAAATATCTCCTATATTATTCTATGAAAACTGAGTATCAGATGACTTGTTATGTGCTACCAATAACTCTCTTAAAAGTTTGAGTAAACTGAGAAGAAATGCTCCTCTAAACTCATTTTGACCATTAGAATAATTTGGTGGTTAATAAACAAGATGATTTGGTGCAAAGTTGGTCACCTGTTCAACATCTATTTACCATTTACCTCTTCCTCCTTATAACAAAATTCCAGTTTTGTTCTGATATCTAAACTACACATGGATCCAAGGAGGGGAATCCTGGTTTAAGCCAATCAGCATAAGGCGTTCTGTTGAGAATTATCATTATACTCTTTCCAGGTGGCACAGATGGTAAAGAATCCCCTTGCCAGGAGATGCAAAAGACTAGGGTTTGGTCCCTGGGTCAGGAAGATCCCCTGGAGTAGGAAATGGCAACCCACTCCAGTATTCTTGCCTGGGAAATCCCATGGACAGAGGAGCCTGGCAGGCTACAGTCCATGGACTCTTACACACAACCTAATTTGGCTCAATCAGATCATAAAGATAGGGGGCGCAGGGTACTTCATGCCTTAGGAATAGTTTCTCTCTCCTCTGCTGGACTTGAACAAGAAAGCATATGATTAACTTCATCAATCCTGGAAGAGAGTGCTAAGATTAAAAATATTGATAACTTGATTTTTGGATGGCATCACTGAGCCTCTGATGTCACTGCATCTAGAGTTTGCCCTAACCCTGGACTTCCAATTACATATTTTCCTTGATGAAGATTTTGTATAACTTTGCTGTCAAAAGCACCATCATCAACACAGAACTACCATCTAGCAATTTATCACAGCTAAAGAAACACTGGGTA